TGCAGAGGAGCAGCAGTTTGTTGAGGATGGCAGGAGCCCTTCATGGGTGTCCAGACTGTCCCACACGGCCCCTGTCCATCCCTGTTCCCTCTGCTCAATCCCTGCAGTGTGATGGGCAGCTCCATACAAGGATGTGCCTGCACACAGTTGGAATGGCTCAGTTTTACCCTACTAACATTTCAGAGCATCGCCACAATGGTATTCCTCCTCAGAGGCTCCTCTCAAGCCCCAGTGAGAAAACAGCAGCCTGATGTGCAGGAAACACTTGCATGGGATGTTTGCTGAGCTTTATGTATTCATTAGAAAATTCCTCAGTACTGTAATAAATGCATCCAGAGCTTTGATATTTTGCACATCAGGTGGTGAAACAGTAGCTGTGAATAGATTGCCTGTATGAAGGTTTCTGCCTTGAGTGCTGCAGCAGCAGATGGTCTAATAAATATGCAGTGCTCTAAAACAACGTCAGTAATTTCTGTGACCTCGGGTTTTTTGGTCTCCCATGCAGATAAAATGCACAATCATCCAATAATAAACTTTTTCATCAAAAAATCCCGTAAGCAGTCTAATGTAAACATCTTTTGAACTACACTATGAGTTTGTACTGGGAGCCTAGCTGAGTTTCTTTATGAAAAGTATTTTACTCTAAAGTTGCTCTATGGGTTGGTACAGAGAACCCACTATTGGCATAGCCTGAACCTCTTGTCTGGCAGTTGCCAGGTGAGGAAACCTGTGAGGGCTGGGATGAGAACACAGTGTTAGTCCCCAGCAGCACTCCAGTCACAATGCAAAAGTAAAATGACATTTTATTTAATGCCCCTTGATAGCATTTTTCTTCTGCTGTTTTGTAACCTGTTTCTATAATCTTTCAAAGCTGTCTGTTCTTCAAAACTCCTGGTGAAAGAACATGATAACAAATTAAAACCCCGAGATCTGCTGAAGATGCCACAGCTGCAGGGATGGATCACCAAATGCTCTGCCTTTAGCAGAACGTTCTGCCCTGCAGCCCACGCTGGACCAGTGTGCCTGATGGCCAGGGGCCAAAAGCAGCTGTTCAGGTGTTGACATCTCCTTTCTCTTCCAGTGCTGAGGGCATTTCTGTGCAGGGGCTGTGTAAGCAGAGGGACCCATCTGGGCCACATTTTGACAGAACTACAAAACCAGCCTTTGTTACAAGCATAATTCTGGTGCCCTTAGAACAAAAGAAATGTGAAACTACTGTGGAGCCGTGCTCAGCTGGGACACTTGGTGTTTGCATTGGCCTTGTACTCACCTCCAAAAATGTGTCTCAGCTCCTCAGCATCCCCAGCCCAAGCCACTCTCATCTGCCATGCAGACTGGATGGCACATACTTGGAAAGGGATTAAAAGCATCACAAGGCTGTTGATTCACCACTGATTTAGCAAAGGAACTTCCATCATCACTCTTACCATGCAGTTTAATGCTCACAGATTATTTGTGTGCTTGGAAACTGTCAGACTTGGAAACAGAACAGCTTTAGAGTGGTGTGATAAGAGCAAAATCCTGCTCAGGTCTTTGCATCCCGGGCTGCTACATGTGAGCCCCTGGGAGCTCACAGCTGTTCCTGGGTTTCATCCAGGACTTCTGCATTTGAGCTGGTGACAATGCCTGCAGCAGGATCCCTGAACATCACAGTCAGAAATGCCTCTACAGCTGCTAATGAGCAAGTTAAACACCAAATAAGAAGGAATGACAAATATTGTTGTTACACTTATGTATTCCCATGGGTATCATGAAGCCAAGCTTTCAGTTTATCAGGAAAATGCATTTAAATAGTTTTTTTCAAGATGCCAAAAAAGGTGGCAGATAAGGATGCCAAGTTTCTATAGTAACCATGAGAAAAGCAGTGATTATCAGCAATATCACATAGGAAAGATTGGATTGTCTTTTCATTTTACATGTAGCCTATTGCTTAAAAAAATTAAACCCTTTTTTGAAAAAAAAAAAAAACCAAACCCATGAAAAAAAATGGAATATGAAATACATGATGCAAAATTATTTTCTAGGATTTTCCAGCCTGTGCATCCTTGCCACTTGACTCATTGTTTAGAGGATGAGTCTCTGAACAGAATACTTTATGGCAGAAGAATATGTGAATAATAAAGCATGACTTTTCATATTTTCTCACCTAGTAACCCAGGCAGCAGAGGAGAAAAATCAATATTGATTTCTAACTGTAAGCTCCTTAAGACAGAGTGTGTTCTTTGTTTGGCATAATGAGGCTCAGGTACAGACAACACTTGGGTACAGCACTGCAAGATTACGAAGTCTGAGAGCTGCTGGGAGGAATCCACAAGGTACCAGAAGGTACCAGGCTGTCAGTGATCTGCACCTCAGTGCTGCTGCTCTCCACAGACACCTGAAGGCTGAAACCTGATAATTTGGCTGGACTTTGGAGAAAACCATGGCAGATGGATGTAAGACAAAAAGAATGAGTGATGAGGAGAATCATTCCAGCAATATAAAAACACACTGCTGCTCTAGGCTGTGTTTTAAAGCAATGAAATTTATTTTAAAGATTTCTTCTTACTTCTGAACTATCTGAAAGCTGGTTGACTGTTTCTGAGCGAGCAGAGAGAAAGCAATGATATCATTTACATCTCACATGTGTAAGGAACATAGAAAGGCCTGAGAGACCAATTGGTTGACTTGTGATCTGCTGACTCCAGCAGCTCCACCAAGCTAACTTCAATTCCTCTGTTTTTAATGCAGGTCCAAGGAACATTAATGAAGCCTTACTAAAATTTACTGCTTTTCAAAATTTCAGTTCCCAAAAATCGTAACTGATGCCAGGTTTGTAGAAATAAATCCCTGCAGTTTCATTTATGAAACTTTATGCCCCAACACAGGTATTTTTACCTGTTGGAAAGCACGCTCTAGTGAAAACTCTGTGATTCTCATGGCCTCAAACATTGCACATGACTGCTAAGAGCAAATCTCTGTGTTCCTCATCACTTGCCATAACTGCTGGCTTTGACAAATTGGCTCAACAAAGCACCTGCTGTGTGTCAGCAGTGCTTTAGTTTGAGGTTCACAGGATGATGATTAAGAAAAACTTTGTGAGCAAAACTCAGAGCCCTTGTGAGCCTCTTGTGCTGCTCAAGTCAGAGGTGTTGTTCACAGCATCATGGCAATCAATCCCCATGGATGTTGCAGACATAAAGCTGCTAACTAGAACACAAAGGGCAAGGATCCCAAACTGCTGATTTTGAAAAGCAGGTTACAGCTGCTTCCTTATAAAATACTACTGTGCTAATGACAAGAAAACAGATTCTATTTGTACTTGACTGTGAGCTGGGAACAACAGACACCCTGCACCTACTGTCACTACTCACCTGACTCCTTAGCTCCTTAACAATGGGGATAAGAGTGCGGAGCCTCCAAGGACTCCCTTTTGCCCAAGCTTTGGATGCCTCCTGACACCAGTTTGCAGCCAGTATTTAGCTGGGTTCTTTTCTCCCAAGAGAGTGGCTGCCTCAGATACATCAGGGACCCAGTCTGGACTCACAGTGGTGCCCTGGAACACCCAGCCTCTCCTCTGGGACATGTGGCTATGAAAGAAAATTAATAACATATTTTAAATACCCTTTCCACACACAGAGGGAGTGTGGTACTGATCACTAAATGATGCTAAAATGGCCAGACATGCACAAGTATGTACATGCCAGCATCTGATTTTCGAAAGTCAAAATTATGATTCCATTGAACTTTTAAACTGATTATGGCATTAGCAAGAGCAGGTACAAATCTTTCTGGCTAAGGCAGGGTAAATAAATTATCTCAGTGCAGTATCTGTCTTCCTGTGTATTTCAGTGCTACTCTTGCTTGGATCAATTTGTGATGATATGTTTGTACCTGCCACAGAGCCAAATACACAATCTGATCTTATGCCAAGCCACTATTAACAACTGCATTTTCAATTGATTCTAGGATATTCATTAACTGGAATCTACAATTACATATAATTTACAGGCATATAATTTTAAATCACTTGCAGTGAGCTTACTAAGCTCGCTTTATGACATTCAAATACATTATTCTTAAAAATTCACTGAGTAGTCAGCTTGAAAATAATTACAGTGAGACAGCACTGGATATAATCAAGTAGAAACTTAGGACAAGAATCACCAGAAATGCCTATAGATCACTTTTGCCATGTGACTTTCCCATTCCCTTCAGCTGTCTCCAGGAAAGTGAAATGTACTGAGCTGCTGGACTCCAGAGCTCTTCCACTGGCTCAACTCCATTAAAACAAAACTCTTTGGAATTCTTGTGTCATGGACAACTCTCTAAGCAACACCTTTTCTCCTATACCCGGCAGCTGGTGTTTCAATGATTTATTTACCCTTTAGAGAAGTGTCCTGTTGGTTGGGGGATGCACTTGGCAAGCAGCACTGCACTTGCTCTGGGGCTGGGAATGTTGGGCACAGCTCAGGGCTGAGCAGCAGCCAAACACCAGGGTCAGGGTAACTGGAGTTTAGATCAAAGAACACGACACAGTATCCATGCACAGTAATAAATCCTTAAATAAATAAAATACATGCACGGTATTTGATTAATTTTATATAGTGATTTCATTTTCAAATGCTACATATGTTCTGCTCTTTATCTGTATTTTTTCTCTATGATCAGAAGAGTTATTTTACATACCATAAAAGCAAAATGCAGAGTGATGCAGGCAATTTAAAAGTCCAAGTTGGAACTTAGGGTTCTCACTGAAAACTGCACTGAAACCCAATACACATGTGTTAAATGAATTGCATTATTTTATTGCAATGTGTAGTGGAGAACCTCACACAACATGTTGGACCTGCCCTTTGAGCACAGCTTCCCACACAAACCACATACACACCTCCCTGCCTTACCTGAAACAAAACTCGAGTTCTGGAATGTTGGACCAACCTCTCACCACTCTGCAGCCCTGGGTTATTACAGGGGGAAAGCTGACAGCTGATACCCTCAACAGCTCACAAAATACACAGTAAACAAGTAATGTTTTTTATTTGAGTAAAGCCATGATTTACACATAAACACTACCAACCTTCTTGATTCAGCTTCATTTGTTTTCATATGGAAGCTGTGAATATTGGAAATAAATTAGACTAGTAAATAACTGTCTTAAACACAAGGAACTTTTATGCTATGTGATCTTCCACTGCATTACAATTTAATACAAAGCTATAAAAATAAGACATGGTTTGCCAAATATATTAATTTGGTTGCAAAACTATTGTTTAATTTAAGTTATATAATAAATTGTATGGCTCAGTCAGATTTTGCAAGAAATCAGAAGATACTATGAATACAAAATAATATCCTCTGATGTTCTGACTATGCCAATTCACAGTATTTCCCAGAATTTGTGTCAAAGTAACAATTCAGAAATGGATCATGCAAAAGAGGCAAAACTTCCTCATCTTCTTCAGCACTGGGGTGATCTTCACCTGTGTGTAGTGGAGAAAGTAAGACTAAATCACTCTTCCCTCAAACAATAACATGAAAATATCTTTCTGTCAGATGTGAGATTTTTTTCTTTCAAATGTATAATCTTCTGACTTCTGAATTGTTGCCTTCAAGATAACAGCAATTCACATTTTGATTTTATTTCTAAAGACTTGTACTTAACTGAGTGAAATGAGGTCAGCTGGAGTTCGCTCAACAACTGGACTTTTCAAAGTTCAATGGAGCAGTTCACTAAAAGTACCTTTACTAATAGTGGGTAAAAGTATTCTTCAGTGGTATTTTCCTCAATAATTTCTTCTTAATACTTTTTTTAGCTTGAACAAAGACAAAAAAATGTGAGGCTAAGCAGGGAGCAGAATTTTCTGGAATGGATTTGAGCATTCAGTTTGTTTCTCAGATCTGGTATATAACTATCAGTGATAAACCAGCACTTTTGCCTCAGAAATAACTGACCTTGAGTGAAGTGAATAAGGAAAAAAAAGAAATCCCAAAGTCCTCAAGATATATCACAGGACACATTTTATTTAGCACCTCTTTCAAAAATGATACTCTAAACCATCTAGTTACCACGGTCCATCAGGATTTTTTAAAACCTAGTATCTAGGAAAATACCCAGATTCTAATGTTGGATGGGGATGATCTAATCCCACAGGCCTTTGTCACACAGCACTGCAGCTTCTCTGCTACTTTCATAGACAGGGGTGTCCAGTAGTTCAGAAAAGTTCCAAACTGTCCTGTCTGAGCAGAGAAGGTCATGCAATGGCTTTGTTGTTCTCTCTTTATTTCTTGAAGAAATGATCACTTCATTACAGCCAGGTTTTTTGAGTATCTGGAGATAGAAATGTTTCTGTATGAAGTTATCAAAATTACAAACGTGAGTCAGAATTTGACTGAATGAAGGTATAAAAATAAAAAACCAGAATAAAAAGCTATGGTATATAGACAATTTCTCTTCTCCAAATGTGCAATCACAGGCACATGATGTAAAATATTTCAGCTTAAAGGAAAATGTGTTTATGAACAATTCACAAAACAGTTTGGAAATTCTAATGTGAATAACAGGAGAAATGCAAATTCCCAACAATACTTATTTTTTAAAAGCTTTTTAAAGATAGTAACACAATTACAAAATTTACAAAAATTATAGGTTTACTGCAACAAGTGTTGGATTTCATAATACAAATGAAAAACGTTCTCTGGGACCTTTCATGAATTTTTATCCAATGTGCCTGTAGCTCAAGGATGACTGTTCAATTCTGTTTGGCTTATTTAGGACCCTTAACACAACATATTACTTGATTCCTCAAAGCAAGGTCCTTTCCTGACAGAAAAATTGTATTTTGCTGTCACAAACAATTACAAGTCTACGTCTATGAAAATGTTCCCAATTTGAGGGGCATAATTTATTTTAGACAGTAAATCACTGAGACATCTTTACCCCTTGGACAGCCAGAATAGAGGGGTCAGATTTATGAGAGCTCCCAGTGAATTCCTGAGACCTGAAGAAAAATGCAGATCTCTGTCCTGGAAGTGTCCAAGGCCAGGTTGGACGTGGCCTTGAGCAGCCTGGCTGAGGGGAAGGTGTTCCTGTCCATGGCAGGGGGGCTGGATCTGGACTCCAAGGTCCCTTCCAGCCCAAACCATTTTATGATGCTCTATAATGATGGTCCTTCTACCCTGTTTCCTAAGATAACTGATAAGAAAAAGGGCATTTGAGGAAAACAAGGCATTTTCTTTATTCTGTTGTTGACTTTCCAGTTTCAGTTAAGGTCTTTACCATTCTCTAAGCAAACACCATTAATAAGCAAAAGCCTGTAACTCTGGTGACAACTGTCCTCAGGAAATCACACTAAGGTTTCATTTAAAGCTAAATCTGCAATTTTTCTTCCTAAGAGAAGTATCTCTTATGCAAGTATAATCATGCCTCTGAATAAGAATGTTTAGTCTTTGTGTTCTTTCTTACGTGGGTTTGTCATCCCATTAGCATAAATTCCTTATTTTTAACAAATAAGATGCATTTTTTATGAGTTAATCTGTATAGAGCCAGAACACCAGGAAACAGCAATTGCATGTTATTCTTCTAGCAAAGGCAAATAATAATACATGGAAAACTCTGCTGTCTCGAGCTGAGGTTCATAAACAAGGAAACTTCAAACCAAAAAGTAGTAGGATAGAAAACTATGAGAAGGCAGTACCAGCACTACAGAAAGAACAAGTATCTTTCTACCCAGGTTCTTTTAACTGTCTTCATAAATTCCTACCTGGAGTTCCCTGTTTTGTTGAAGATTTAGTGTTCTCTTCTAGTTGTTGGCTTCCAGGAATGATAGGGGGACTGAACACATTTAAGCAGTCCCTGAAAAACATAAATCAAAATATCATCTATAAAAACCCACTTTGTTTTCCTGTTTTTTTCCTAATTCTTTTGATTATTAAAAAAAAAAAAAAAATAGCCAAAAGAATCTGCAGGTTTTCAAGTGTTCTGAAACAAAATCAAGCTGGATTTTATTATTATGAAAATAAACTTTACAGTTAATATAATTATTAAATGTTGAGGCTTTCTCCATTCAGGCCTTTTCACCTCTTCTGTTCACATTAAAGTCTGTGGTTTAAGTCAGGTTTGCTTTCCAGATTTCAGCTGGTGTGGTTCTCTCAGCAGAGGATGTACAAGTAACACAGAGTTATCCTTTGAAAGCCTACAGGACCCATCAGAGTCTTTTTCTGAGGAATAAAGGCTTGGAATGAACAACCTGTGGGAGTCAAATTGATTAAAAATCCTTATCCTCTCTAAAGAAAGAGGCTCAAAGACAATCACAAGATCGGTTTGGTTTGGTCACCACTGACGTGGCAGTGCTTGGTGCCCCTGCAGGGGGGTGACAGACCCAGAACTTTCCCTGTCTGGGAGGGTGGTGACTTAGAGCTGAGCTTAGACAGAAATGGATGCTACTAACAGTTTTCTGAAGAGGAAACATTGGATTGAGTCTGAATGTTGTTGTTGGTATGAGGGGAAAAACATTCTTAGGCAAATATATTCTAAATTATTCTTTCTATCCATTTTCTATTGTTATAAAATCTTGTATGTAATAGATAAAAAATTGCTATTGAACATAACATAATTCTACCTACTGGCAAGATAATATAGAGGACATCTATCACAGGTATCCTGTATCTATTTTACTTCTGTAAAGAAAAAGATTTTGATGGGATCTTCATCACAGAGGAGAGAGTACTTTCTTCTAATTCATGGACAAATTTTGTCTCTCCTGGAAACTAGTGTCATGACTTCTAAAAATTATTTCCATGCCATCATGCATTCATGCAAAGGACAATGTTCCTTTCACATACCCCACTCAATGAAACACTGTCTTTTATTATTTCAACTCAGAGAAAGGAAAACAGAACAGCTGTTTTTATTGTTATTGTTGTCACTTTTTTTTATTGCAAACTTTTTATTGCAGTGGAGTGACAAAGTCACTCATATTATACTATCTAGCAGAGAAAGATAGCCCTGGAAGGACACATCCATGTCACAAAGACATTCTTTGTTCAGGTGACCAGGTCTTGTAATTCTTTTCACATATGAAATTAATCTCTGCACACTGTGCATAGCTGATGGTTCCTTAAATTCTCATCTCTCCTCTCCAGCAGGAAAGAGCTGTACCACATTAAAGCTTCCATACCATCATTAACTAGACTGAACAACTGCAAGTCAACACTTGAACACAGAATTTGAGAGACTTCAATGAATCCCCTCTTTTTGATAGAAACAGATCCAACATTTTTGACCAAACTAATTTCACTGCAAGGCAAGAGGTATGGAAGGGGATAAATTCCCATATGTTTGCTTCTAGCTGATGGGAGCAGTGCAGCTCTAAAGAGTAAATTAAACTTGGTTTGGGATTGATTTATCTTATGTCTGGCTGTTCCAACAGCTGGCACAAAACCATTATGCATGTGAACTTGTGCTACAGGCTGGGGAGATTAGCCAGAGCTGTAGAGGTAACTTCAGCATCCATGGCTTTGTCTAAAAGGGATAAATTTTTCCAAAGCGTGGCAGATTTCTTTACATTCCAGACTGTAATTGTCTCAACTTGATTGTCCAACACTAAGGAAATAAGTAATACACTTCTATTTTCTGAAAAGCTTTCATGATCTCATGTTTGAGTTGCTTCTGTCAGAGAAATCTGGCAAGGCTCAGTCATCGGGTACAATTGCTAAAATATGCTGACTGCTTTGGTTTTTTATAGTTTCTCTGCTACTTCTGGATTTGTTATTGATTCTACATCATCTCCTGTTGGCGTGTGTGCATAATCTGGGTTGAATCTGGGGACAATCACCTATCTGTTTGCAGTCAAAATGGAAAAATCTAATTTTCCGCCTCAGGAAACAGAACTGTTGGCGTAGAAATCCAGCAAGTAGCATGGCAGATTTAAAGGAAGAGATATTGAATTTTCCATCATGTCAAAATCTAAAAAACATACTTTAAAATTTTCTTATAGCATCATATAATTTTCACATATATGACCAGCTTCACAGCCAATCCTTCTCTTCTGCTGTTAGCTAAGGCCACTGGGAGTTGGTACAAGCAATGCACACAGCCATGTGCTTGCTTAGACTTCTCCTTATTAGCTGTCACTGCCACCCTATCTGCATTCCCAAGCCAAAGGCTCTTTGTCTACACCAAAGCTTCAGAAGTTTTTAGGAATAACAGTTAAATGCAGGGTGATACCCAGTAGCATGGTAGAATGTATTTCCCATTGCTGTCTCTTGCATGTGTGGTTTGATCTGCCTGAAAATCAGCCCCCAAAATCACGAGACTGACCATCCCCACAGGAGTGGGCTGACAGCACAAAGCAGCACGGACCTGATTCTCTACAATTGCACTGAAACAAAGCCAGCAGAGGCAAAGGTGATCTCTCAGAGAAACTGCATCAAACTTGGGGAAGGTAAGGTAAATAACACCTCTGCTTCCCAAGCTAGCTTTCCTTCCACATTCACTACGACTTTTGCAAAAGGCAGCGATATTTGAGATCCAGACAAGAACTAGAATATTTCTGCTGGGGCAACTGCTGATACACAAGTGCAAGGAGACAGAAAGACAGTGCTCACTTCTGAAGAGAGTTATCTTAGTCAGACCAACAGAGTTACAAAATATGAAAGCTTTAGAGTACATATGCACTTCTACCAGTCTGGCATAAACCAGAAGCATTTAAAGATTTGTGTTTTTTCATATAAAACATGTATCAGGGAATTCCTAAAGAAAATAGGACCTGTAAAGCAGAGAGGATGTTAGCAAGAAGGAAAGATAGTAAGGTAATTACCTCCAATGGAAAAGAAAAAGGCAATTCATTTAGAGAACAATGAGGGAACAAGGTAATAATATGTTGTTAAAATTAAATAATATGTTGCTAATATTTAACAATACATTGTTAAAATCAGTATTTGTGCTATATTAATAAGTTTTATTACTCAGGAAATGGATGAATTTTAGTTTAAAGTCTCATATCTGGAAGATCTGCATAAAATATTAAGTCTGAGAAATCAGAGATGGAATGATTTTTTGAGTAGCCAGGTGATTTTATCTTTGATTTTGTCCTTCATTTATTGGAGCTAAATATTATATTAGGGTGTTAAATTTCATATTCATATTTATTTTAATTTATCTGACTCAGTAGATGAATAGTTACTTTTTCTAGGAGGTACAAGTATAAGGTCTAATGCTTTTGATGGTTCTAGAAGGAGGCAAAGAAGTTTTTATCAATGACAGATGCAACAGGGATGTGTTGGAAAGTTTATTATTTCCAAATAAGACAGTCTTTATTCAGTTTATGTTTTTTTCTCTCAATGTCCAAAAAAAACAAATAGTTTTTCTAATCAACTGCTTCCCACCAAGACATGTAATCAAAATATTACAGTACTAAGTTTTCATTGTTGACTTAGTATTACTTTGAAGGATAAAACATTTTACACAATACATATTAAAAACTGGTAAGTAGGTTAGTTACTTTCTAACTTACTTTTAAAGTTAGTTACCAAAGTCTAAATTAACCTCCTAAAAACTTGAAGAGAAATTAAAAAAAAAATCTCATGAGTGCTGAAATCTTCCTGGTTAACTCAGACTGAAGATTGAGTGCTGGCAGTTGATGGATAAACTTCTGAGGAGTGGCTTTACAGCAGGAATTCTGACAGATGCTGCAGCTGAGCAGTCACACCAAACTTTCCACAGTAAAATCTGCAGCTGCTTTTAGGAAGCAACTAAAATGTCTGTGTGTGGGACAGAGGGTTTCAGTGAATTTTAAAAAAGCACCCTCGAAAATGTGTTAGACCTTGACAAAAGTCAAGGACTAGGATGGAGGTAACTGGCAATATTCTGAGAAACACTGTGCTCTGTGTTCCTGGTTATTGTGATTTTTTTCTGAGTGAATAGAGAATATATATTTTTTATTAAAGAAGCTAGTTTATCTCATTAAAACAGAAAAGCTAATCACACATTCTGACTAATTGAAACCACTCTATTTATGCTATCAATGCCTCCAGCTGGAATCAATTCAATCAATGTGCAATAAACCATCTAGAGCTTCTTGATAACAGTGTGGAATGCCAAATATTGTCTTTTGACATTGTGAGCTGCATTATAGGAAGGCACAGAATAGGTTCCACACACACTCAACAGTACCATGTACCTTTAGATTTTGCAATAAAATTCTTCATTATTCTGAAAGCTAGTCTCCATATTAAAATATAATGCAAATGTTATATAATCTTGTTACATTTTTCTTAAAAAAAATATTACTTAAAGATTCTTTTAGAATACTTTCAGATAATAGTGGCCATGTCAGTGAAATGTCGTGACAGCTGAACTGTGATGGAAAGCAAAAGAATATTTTGGATTTATGAACATAATTTTCAGTCTTATGACAGCATGGTAAATTTGCAGAAAAAAGGCTTCCATCAGCAAAGTCTGTTGAGAAAATTAGTGATGCTTTATTAAGCAGCACTTGTCAATGACAATGTATTAAAATTACTACCATCAGCAGAAATCCTTAGAATCAGATGTTTTTCACTGAAATCTTAAGGAATACTTTTGATACTCTGATTTTTTCACAGATACTTTTGCAGATCGGGAGACTGAGAAAATGTCAAATCACTTAATATAAAGATTTTTAATATTGCACTATCTTGAGACAGCATACATTATTGCATTTCTTTTGGATCACATTTAATTTGTATTACTTAAATCAATGGGATCATTTAATCCACTTTATTAAAAAAAATAAATGCTTTGAAGTTTTAGTATGGTTTTGTCCAACAATCTATAATTAAAAGGAATATTTGTTCAACCTTGTAGTATACTGCAAAAATGCCATTTTATCAAATCAGAGAATGAAAAACCAGCCTTAGTTTTGTGTCATTATTAACACATCAGATTGACAGTGTATTCAGCACCTGAAGGGTACAATCACTAAAACCACAAAAGATCATAGTTAACTGCATCTACTTAGTGAATTTTTATGAACTTGAGAGGAGAATGGACTTGTGCCTGGGTGAAGTAAGAGGAGCGCATTTGCTGAACTGTGTTTTTACAGTGGATTATTTGACTAACTGTGGAGGGCCAGAAAATGTCAATGCATGAAGCAACTGTAAAAATATTTTAACAAAAAAAAGGACCAATTCCTGACATCTTGTGTAGTTATCAACTTAAATCTCAGTGCATACTTCTGCTGTATTAGCAGTATTTAATATCATGTGGAGAAAATCCTGCTGCAAATGCTGAAAGTGCATAATGATACCTTACCATGATGTACTGAATGCAGAGTGCCAGCTCCCATCTAAAGGATGCTCCAGTTCTGCTAAGATAAAGACCTAATTTCCTCCTGTTTTCAATTTCAATTATATTTAAAAAAAAAAAAAATTAATGAAAAGTCACCTGGCTTTGTAATGTCCCTTGTAAGACCCCTCATCTATTCCCTGATCCAACTTCTTCGGAGCATGAGTTGCTGGTTAGGCTCCTCTAGATTAAAAGATGTGAATTTTCAATTATTTCCATATCTCATCAGCTTCAGGCACATGTGTAACTTTATTAACTTAAGGCAAATTACCTACACACACTGTTTTGTTTCTGCTTTGTCACATGTAAGTCCTGAATGCATAATGGAAGGTTTGGGTTTATTTTTTAGCAGAAGTACTTCCATGTAAATAAATTCTTCAATAATAACTTCAGTAGTGAACAATGACTTTTTTAGGCTATTAATGATTAGATTTGTTTGATGAATGTACAGAACATAATTATTATTTGAAAATATGTTGAAACTAATTTCAGGTCCTACCATTACATGACTGTCATAATTATGAAATCACCTGAGGTTTAAGTTGTCCATTATTGTATCTAAAATGCTTTAAACAATTCAAGTTTTTTGAAAATTTTTAAGTTTTTCCATAAAAATTCCATAAATGAATACAAATTCAGTATTAATTTCTGCATCAATAACTGTTCAGTGCTACTCAGTTCCAGGTGGGGAAACCAGCATTTTTTTAAATGAAAAACTGAGTGAGTTCACAGAAGCAGAAGATATATTACCAAAAGAATACAGAGTATACTTATACATAAAAATCAAGGATTTTTGAATGCATATTTAAAAAAAAATCTTGAAAAATAACATAAATATATATCTTCCTATGACTTTGCATGAATTGAAAGTTCTATTTTCAAAAGTATTTAAAGGCAATCTGGCAATACATTGATGATTTTTAAAAAAAAGTAAGTCATGAGCTAAAATTGTGTTATTTTCCTGGAGTGCTACTGTAGTTTCAAGATATCATTAAATCAGCACAAAGCAACACTTATCATTTCCTGCACATTTTTCACAGTGAGCTGAATTCTGACTATGAGTAATCTGTTAATCTGTTCTCTGCCTCACAATCCGTCAAAGTGACAGATTCATTCCATCTCTAATACATAATATCTTCATTTACTGTATGCCTTACTGGAACTTTCTTTTTTCCCTTGCACTAAGATTGAGACAATTACAAGCATATTTAGAAAATGCCTTCTTCCTTCCTCCAAACCACTTCAGCAAGTCCATTTTGTCAAACACTGCATTTCTAATGGAAGCAGGAATTTCCTTAAAAGCCAAATAATTTAATTGTCCATGAGATCATAAAAAGTACAAGTGCAACTGTGCAGGGAACACTTGAATCTGCTCTTAAAGTCTTAAATCTCTAAATGAACTATCTTAGGGATGCTAGATTGGATTAAAGGATAACAAAGGAGATGCGAATTCTACTTACTAAACAAGATATTTAGATAAAGTAAGGTGCTACCACAGGTATCTATACTATAATCATGCTGACTGGTATTTCCAGTTTGTCTTTCATTATCAAAGTTGAAATGATAACTTTGTGCAGGCTATTAAAACCATACACAATTTGGTTTGAAAAATACAGTTTGGTCTAAAAATACAAATGACCTGAATCTGGAGGTTTAACATCTTAGTAATTAATATATTTTGCTATTTTGCCTATGTTTTGTAGCTAAATACATGAAATTGCTATCATAGCTTCTGTTAAATGGAGGGAACATTTAATTTTACTTAAAGACTGAACCCTGGAAATGCCCTGAGAAAAGCCACATGGGTATAGGGCCAGAGCAAGAGCTCAGCTGAGGATGGAGAGACTGTAACAGCCTGGGAACAGGGAGCATGTCCTTTCCATCTGACATGTCTGAGAGGTAAAATCTTTTATTGCCTATTCTCTATCTTTCCATATAAGCATGGCCTTTGTTTGAATGGCCCGAGAATACCCAGAAAAATGTGCAAACAATAAAATTATTCTCAGTAAGTCCTGAAGCTAAAAAAAATAAAATAAAAAGAAGACGAAGAAGAAAAAGAAGAAATAGACTACCTCAAATTGACATGGATGTAACAGCATATTAAAAAGCATTTGCTATGTTTTACATTTAAATCCTTAGTGCACATACTGTCATGTTTCCATGTTCTTAGATTCCCATACAAGGAAATGCCATTTTTGGATTATTTAAACAAGATTTAACATGTTAGCTACTTGGTTCTCCATAACCTTTCTGCAGCTAAGCTTTTTAGCATCATGATTAAAAAAATGTAACCTGTTCAATTAGATGGTTCCTGTGCCATTTACTTCTTTTGTCATGTTCTTTCTCATGCACATTATTGCTTGACAAATGCAGCAGAACTTTGCTAATTCAGATTAACGACTGGGAGATCTACTGCAAATTACTCTATTTTGTGGGTAAGTAACTGAACAAGTAAAATAAAAACCAAAGTACGTTTTGTGATACATTGTTCTTGTTCACTTATTTTGACAACTGTTGTGTAATTTTATCCTACTTCATAATGTAATATTGTCTGTTTTGCAAAAGTAATGGCATTGTATGATCTTATAATGAATCATAAGAATAAATATGCTTCTTTGTTTGAAAAAATCAGTCTTTAAATGCGTTTCTTAACTAAGTTATTCTGCTATTCAAACGTTTGCATGGAAATACGAAGGGCTCTTGTGCCTGAGTTTCATACCCTGAATGAGGGAGAGGTTCTGATGTAGTGCAAATAAATGTTATAGCTGCAATCCCTCTTTTACTGCACCATTTCATGGGTGAGTTTAATTTTACAGAATCTCTCAACGGTACAATAACACATGCACCAGCTATTGGAATGTTTAGTTTTCATCTGGGATGGATGAGAGTACTTGAATGGTAGTCTCAAAGCTGAAGATACTTTTAATATTTGAGAGTTTACAGCTGATGTATTTTTTATGCTGGAATCACTGATATTATGCAAATATCAGGTACCATGATAATGGCAATATATATGGTAACCATAGGTTCTGAAAAAAGACTTCTCTAGAAGAAAATTTCAAAGAAAGAGAAAGAAATAATTTATTCTCTGAAACCAATAGAGTGTTCAGAATGCACAGAAAGAGGTGTTTATTATATTTACATATAATTTATATTTATAACTAACATACCTAAATTTTACCAGTCATCAAGTTTGAATATCATTAAAAGATATTTTTAGTTAAAGGTACATGTTTATGCATCTCATGATTCATTACCTCAGGTGCTGTGCATGCATATCACTATGAAAATAAGAAAATTGCATTGTTGGATAAAGTAGCAACAGAGGATTTGGGTATTTTTTTTTTCCTTAAGGTAAAAGCAACAACTTTTTTTTTACAAGTTATTGTCCTCCTCAAACACACAACTCTCCATACCAGTGAAACATTTTGTGGTGATAAATCTCAAATCTATAACATTTATCATAAAAGGAATGAAAATGTTATTTACTTTTCAGTGGGTTGATTGTATTGTTTAGTTTTTTAAATTTTTTTTTTGATTTTAGAGGAAGAACAATGATGACATCCCAATCAGTCTAACTTAACAAATGTAAGTTACAATGACAAGACAACCTGCTTCAGTCAGCTCATACCAAGCCCAATTGAAGGGAGGCCAATGGCTCTTAATCATTTGTCAGAGGGTGCAGAACTTATCAGTTAATTTTAGATAGAAGAAACTGAAAAAGAAACATCTGGATAAAACCTAATTGAAAATCTAGCCATGCACATTTGGCACAAAATTATTTAAGCAAAATATGCTTCTTGTGAAAGGATACTCAATTAAATATTGAAATATTTGTGCCCTACTTTAGTGCAGTTTCTGTGGAACAACTGTTTGAACAAGAGAAACAAATTTTATTTGTAGTTTGGAAGTGTTGAGTAGGATGTCAAGACAAGATCTAGTGAGGCAATGTTTACAAAGATAGGGTTTTTCTAATAAGTTGAAACCTTTCTCAAAGGCAGAAAAATCATCTTTTATCAGAAATAAATTTTCTGGAGAGCATCTGTAGAAGTGTATAAAAGTCTAATAAATTAGGTTCAAGTCATCTTTTTCAGAGAGCAACTCTGGAGATCACAGTTCAGTGTGGCTGAAATTCTAGAACACTTACGATCTTCCAGGATTTCCTTTAGTGAAACTTCCAAACATTCTATAACACACAAAAGGTTTGGAGGAGAAAATCTTTCTAAGTTATAGCTATATAGCTGGTTATATAGCAAAATGCAATCCTTGCACTGGAGGAAGAAGCAAGACGGACACTTCCAGCTCCCTGTTTGCAGAGAAGAAAGCGATTCCCAAGTTCTGCCAGCCGCGCATCAATTGTGGGAATTGCACGGCCTGAGCGGAACACGCACATCACCTCCCTCTCCTGGCCCTGCAGCCTCTGCCCTCGGCTGTCTCCTTTCATTAACTGCTTCTCTGCCTTGCAGAGCAGCACCAGGTGGGCTGACTTCTATGGCAGGAGCAATATTCTTGGCAGACTTACGGCCTTTACCCAGCGGAACCAATGGACAATGAGTCGAGCTGAGCCTTTTTATTGACTGAGTTTCCATTACCTTCACAGGCTTTCTTTCCTAGCTTGTTCTTTTATCTTATTATGGGCAGAACCTACATTTACTGGACAATAGCTTCCACATTGGTCTCTTTTCATTTCCCAGAAGATATAACTACTACACTTTTAAAAATTACTCTCAAGGCCTGTTCTTAACCCTCTTTACAAAAAACTATTTGTTAATTCGGTAAATGCACCATGTAACTGTCTTTATACCATAGCATTTACACCTACACACCTAAAGGGACTCTATTTCAAATATTCCATGTGTTTCCTACAAAGCTACAGTAGTCTTACAAATTTTTAGACATTTTCTAGTTGCTTTTACAGGATTTGTTAAAATTGCCTTTAGAAATAGTTTAGGAACTAAGTTATAAAATTACGATTAATTTTATTTCCTCCTTATTTAGGAACACATCCTCTGTGAAAAACATTACAGTTTTCCATTATAAATGAAAGGTAATGATGTGAATAATGGTATTCAAGTCACATCATCTCCAGTTTTTATATCATGATGCAAACTGACCTCATAATTTTGTCATCTTCTGTATTTACAGCCCAATAATGCTTTTCTGGCAGTTCGCAAGGATTACTGAATTTATGAGGCACTTGCAAGTCAGGTGTTTTATGAATACCACCTGCATTTCTCGAAAATGATTTCTAGGGAAATTTAAGTCTACTGTGTGTACTGGATTAAAATAGCATAAGAACTAAAAAATAAATTATAATATTTTGTTTTAAATTTTATTATATGGAAATACAAGTTTTCATTGTTGATCATATTAACTTGATATGATGAAACACTTTCTTTTTACAGATAATGGTGTTTGTTTTTCCAGTATATAAAGTTTACCAGTACCAAATTGCTTTAGCACATGCATAAAAATAACTTAATAAAACTTGACTTAACCAACATATGGGCAAAAAGAACACAAAAAAATGTAGCTTGCACTAAAATATAGGCAATTATAATGTCATCAGAACTATAAAATCAATTTTGGAATAAAGAGTCCAAAGTTCTGTCTTAAGGTACCTCCTGTTGTACTCTGTGGACTGTAGTCAATTATCTCTGTCCACTTCATCCATTCAACAGCTCATAAGGAGATGGTTCTTTAGACAACCATCACCCACAAGGCAGAGAGGTCTTCCAGACAAACATAAGTACCTTGATTTACATGTGAAGGGGAACAGGAATCCAGGATTATTCTTTTAACTCCAGTAATATATTGGAAAGATATGGCTATGTCTTGCAATAACTGATGCATCTGGGTGAACGTGCACAGAAAGTTTCAGATTGTTCACTTCATAAAATCTAATCAGAAGATTTTGAATCCATAAAAATATGGATAGCAAGTGAGAAAAGTGGCTGAAAACATCTGTGTGAGGAGAAACACATTATCTGACTGACAGTGAACTCTCAGAGAACATTTCAGACTGTTGGTAAAATATAAAGAAGTTGCAACTGAAACGTCCTCTCCTCCCATCCCTGTCCCCCAACACACATAACATCATCCAGTTAAAACTTGGACAAGCAAAATCCACGTTAATGACACCAAGTGAAAGTGAAATAGGACTGCTTTTAAAAATTAGTACACCTCTTGTTCAGGCAGTTAAAAAATTGACAAAGTGATGTTCAGGTTTCACAGGTACAAAGCAGGTCTGAAACTGGACAATTAATCTTGATTGTCTGAACAGTCTCAATGTGATTAATTTTCCTTAGCCACCTTCTCCCCTTGTCATCTCACCTTACATTAAATTCACAGGGATTTTGTTCCCGATTCCAAACAAAACAGATCAAGCTAAAAATCTGACACACAAAATATGCTGTAGACAGGATCCATTTGCTCTATCCCAGAGTGTTGTAACTCCCTCTCCTAACTGGGCTATCTATTGAAAAAAAAAAAAAAACCTTCATAATAAGTAGCATTAAAATCTTTTGGAACCAATTGATTCCCTGACACCTACAGTTGCATACAGAATTCTAGCTCTAAGCCTTCAAAGCAGAGAGGGAGAAAGAAATAGATGAGAGTGTATGTATGTGAGATGAGGACGATTTGCTGAATCACACATCAAAGCAAATGTAAGAGCAAGGCCTGTGTCAGATACTTTAAATACACAGTGGTACATCCAAAACATGCAGAATTCAGTTCTGTGTTCCCAGACAGCTCAGACATACTGTAGACAATGACTAAAATGAGCAATAAAACCCTCTGAGAGGAGGTTGCAATTGAAAAGAGATTGAAGATTAAATCAAAGAGTGTCACATTTAATATTCAGAACACTCTAACTGAATCCTTACTGCCTGGGCTATAAAAATGGAACCTTACCGTGGGTTGGAATGAGAAAGTGGGCTCATTTCTTTCTGATAGTGATGCTCCTGACTGACGGGCTGTGGAAAACAAAAATAATGAATTGTTTAGAAGTATGTCAGAGATCTGGTATGAGCAGATAGATTTGCAGCTTCTGATATTAGAATTTTACAGTCTTTTTTCTTATATGTGAAATTAAAAATGGATATTCTGGTCTTAACTGTACAAAAGTACAACTCAAAAGATGATTTTTGTCTGGGTGGAAATACATATGAATTAAGGAGGAGATCACACAGTTATTTCTCTGCTGCCTGTGAGAGTGTTGGAACAGTCAGGAAATTTCAGAGATGGAGGGTGGTAAGGTCTTGTATGACAGAAGAGTCTGGATTGAACATGTGTACAAAGCATGAGGAAGAAAATCTTGGTAGGATCTGTGCAGAACGAACCATTTTTAAGAGTGGAAAACACAAGGTAAGAGGGTTGGCAGACTAGGTTAGAAGCAGCAATAACACTGATTTAAGCAGTCCTAAATGAAGATTACTGAAGCACATATGATTCTCCATGGCACTGCAGCTTTGAAGCCTGGATTAAGCTGTTCATGAATAGCTAAAAAGGCTGTATGAATATTCATACAAAGCATGATAATTTCCCAGTCAAATCTTACCTACCAATTGTAAGTACATGCCCTAAAAGTTTCAAACTACATTTGGCTTATGGCAAATAAGAAAAATCAATAAATTGATGTAAAAAATTAAAGAATTCTAAAATCCACAAATACATTTCCTCCCAGAATATGTGTGGTTATACCAGAAGAGACTCTCCCTGCCATTATCACACACCTCAAAAGCACTTCTAAAGAAATCATTGAAAGAAATGCAAAAGAAGTGAAAATGTAAGCATACATTAACAATACTTGTACAATTCAGTACATTAAATGCTAAAATAATAAAAAGTGTTAAGAAATGAATTTTTAAAAACAAAAATTAATATAAAAATGAGTATATCCTCATGGTTTCAGAAAATGGAAAGGGATGTTGTAAAATGTGTGTTCAGGATGAATGCCATCCTAATTACTACCAAATATGACTCACTGCATGGTGGTGGATAGTGCAATTCCCAGATGATAGCTAGTGGAAGATGAGGACAAGACAGAGAATGAATTAGTCAGTCTACTAACCAGAATATCTGTCTAAATAATTTTTAGTCTCATTTCATAGTAAAGAATACTCTTCCTCAGTTTTGCAATTTGACTTGATGTGAACAGATCCCTCTAGGGGCTGTCAAACTGAGCTCACAGTTGGCATAATTCTGGGTTTAAATAACACTGCTCTTGTCTGTCAGACTTCAGTTCTGCCAGACCATTTCTGTGTTAAGTGGCTTTCTTTTCTGAAGACTCACAAAAGAGGCCAAAAGACCTTCTACAAATTAGGTATGAACCTGGAAAAACTATTTCAAATATTTTTCAGATCAAGACTTACATGATTTAATTTATATTTCGGAAGTTGCTTGTGGAACAGGTAATCTTTCTTCTCTGTGAGTACTCCTAACTTGAAAGACAACTTTTAGTGGTGGGCATAATTTGGATTCTGCCAATGGAACATTGTATCACTATTATACCATTACAAGCTTCCAGGATACACCAGTGAGCAATTAGGAGAATCATCCTTCTCCTCCGCATTTCTGATGAGAAACAGGGACCATATGTAAGTAGGGTACCCTGAATTCTCATATAGATCTTTCTCCAGAATGTTTGTGCTGTGTCTGAAGTGTGGAAACAACTATCCAAGAAGCTGAATGGGCCAATTCTCTGACAGGGCAAGAATGAATAAAACAAGGCATTTAAACAGAAATGTTTTGTAAGCTTTGCAGATTTTCTTGGATAATGTATATATATGTGAGTATAAATGTCACATTACATTCTTCAATATACAGAACTGTGTCTTTCATACTGTTGCAAATCTAGCATGGATTTTCATAGGTCTTAAGATTTAAGAAAATATTAAGGTAAGACATGGTCAAGTAAAATATTTAAAAATATTTAGCTTTACATACACATATTTTTGAATTGAAACTGTGCCCTGCACATATTTTACAAGGGTTTACAATTCTCCTTCAAAGTAAACCCATTTTAAAGTAGAAGTTTTTCATATTTATAACTGAGGCTATACTAGCTAATGTATAATATTCAAAGTGATTTTATTCCTTTTTGGCTGTCATAGTTTACAGCAGCAGCTAAACCACTTACATATCAACATTTTCTCCTGATAGCATATATTTAGTTCTTGGTAGACTATCATAGAATATAAATCCACAATTTTAGTATATCTGTTTTGTAGTTGTTAAGGACATCTGTTCTAACTGCAGCTCAATGATGTGATTGATCTATGTGCCTTTACATTCACAAGGGTTTCTCAGATTCATTAAAGTCAGTAACTTGACACTTTTCAATGATTCTGGAAATCAGGCTAAAAATGGTTAAGTGATGAAAAAAATTAAACTCACTTAGAATGTGGTTTATATATAGAATAGTACTTTGATACATAAATTCACTATCTAACATGATTATACTCTGCCCTGCCTTGCAAAACATCAAAGGTATTTCAAAATTGAAGATACACAAAAAGCTGCCTTCTGGTGGTGCTGTTGTCATAGATTCCACCTAAAGAACACAAATGTATAAAATGAAGAAAAATTTTTAAGAAAATACTCCTTATTTATCTTTGAAAAACATAAGAGAAAGCAATTGATACTACTGATTTAAAGAATCAGAAAGATACAACCTGGAAACACATGTAAGCATGAAAGTTTAATCATGACAAGAATTTCAAACTGTACTTTATTTCTCAAATTCCAATATGAGGATTATTTCTATTTCTATTTTTTTTTGCATTGCTAAAATAATTTACCTATGCAACTGGAAGATGGCTACAGATCTATATCTCTCTATATATATAGCTATAAAGTTTTCTGCAGTTTGTACATCTGATTTAGGAAGGATTGAGCATTTGAAAATTCTCTTAAACTATAGTGGTAGTAAAGATCAGAGACAAAAACAAATCTGCTTTTATTCTATACATATATTTTTTACATAAGAAATATATATAAAGAATAAATATATACATAAGAAATGCTTCTTTATAAAAACTGGAAGCTGAGAAAATGATGAAATTTACTAGTACTGGGGGATGAAGGGATTGAGAGCAGCTCTGTGGAGAAGGATTTAGGAGTATTGGGGGATGAAGAGCTAGACATGACCTGTCAGACCAGAATGCCAATTGTATCCTGGGCTGCATCCAAAGGAAGCATTGGCAGCAGGATCAGGGAGGGAATTCTGCCTCTCTGCTCTGCCTCTGTGAGACCCTACCTGGGGTACTGTGTCCAGCTCTGGTGTCCTCAGCACAGCAAAGACATGGACCTGCTGGAGTGAGTCCAGAGCAGGCTGCAAAAATTATCAGAGGATTGGGAGATGTCTCCTATGGAGACAGGCTGAGAGAGTTGGGCTTTTCAGCATGGAGAAAAGAAAGCTCTGGGGAGGCCTTACTGCAGCCATTCAGAACCTAAAGGAGGCTTTACAAGAAAGATGAGGACAGAGTTTTTAGTAGGGCCTGTTGTGGTAGGACAAAGGGCAACAGTTTTAAACTAAAAGAGTGTAGATTTAGAGCAGATGTTAGGAAGAATTTTTTTTACAATGCAGGTGATGAGGCATTGGAACAGATTGCCCAGAGAAGCTGTGACTGCCCATCCTTACAAATGTTCAAGGCCTGGTTGGATGGGGAACTGAGCAACTGGGTTTAGTGCAAGATTAGATGACCTTTAAATGTCCCTTCCAAATGAAAGTATTCTATAATTCCATTATTTTATCTTACAGAAAGAAAATGCATGACTAAAGACTTTCATTTCAGCTAACCATTTGAATACTGGCACAGCATTACTACTCCCAAACCTTCTGAAATGTTGTAAGCCTATGAAAATACACTGACATTTAACATCAGCATACCAACAATTCACCCAACTACTCTTTTAAAAGCTTCTGTATTAAAAGAATGTGGGGTGATTAAATAATCACCTCCATTAACAAATGTTAACAGCCTTCTTAGATACCAAAGGTCTACAAAGTGAATTATCACCCTCACATAGATACTCTACCTTTTTCCACATGTTGGAACAGAATTACATTGAGTAGTGTTAAACACACAAGTCCATACTCAAAAAACTCCCATCATGTCCATGAATAGCTGGTGCTCTGGCTGATATCTCAGCAAGGAAAATATGAAATGATGCAGGAGATTCTGGGGACTGCCCAACCCTGTACTGGCACAGTGCTGCTCTCCATAAAGGCTGAGGTAAATGGGTACGGAAGACCTCGACAGCTGAATTTCTTTGTTTTTGTGAGGGACTAAGTGGTTAGTCTTTATCTGAGAAAGATTAGGTTTCTTTCCTAAGTAATCCCTCCTTGGAAATGAGGTTCTTGTTGTATCTTGAACCCTCAATGTCCACCATGCAAAATGCAAGGAGAAACCTGACAAAGCTGGACATGTAAGGCACAACAAGCTCTTCAGTGAGCTGAATGAAATGTGAAGAACTCTCTCAAAGACAAAATCTTGTTTTTTATGCTTTAATTATGTAGAGAAAGATGCCCATAAAAGGCTGTTATGAAAAACTACAACTATATTAAATTGCAAATTATATTACTAACCTATTCTATCTAAACACTATTTTAGATTGAAGCTACAGAAGTTGATCAAGGCAGTAAGATCAAAGTATAGTCTTTGCAATCACATTGTGCTTTACTGAATACTGCAGCAGGACATTTTACTTTAAGAGTTCATTTTGTTTTAGCCATGTAATTTGTATTATCCAAACCTGTCATGTCTAAATATTCTTATCAATTTCAGTATAATTAAACTGCTAAAAAAATAATGAGACTTCTATTCTCTATATTTAATTGAGTTCCATTTGTCTGGTGTTTCAGATTTGTACCATGTTTGAGCCGATTTAATGTGTACAGAGAAAACACATTGGAAGTATTAAATTAACAAAATGTGTAAATGGAGATGTATATCAAATAGTTAATATCAACTAATGTTTCTCTGATGTCCTGCAAAATACTCTTCTGTAAATCAAGTTCTTATTTGTACAATTACCCATCTATCAACACATTTCTTCTCATTTGAAACCTTAATTTAACAGGGTAGTCCAAAGTTCCAGCACTGTGTTGATCATTCACTATGGAAAGTTGCTGCTACAGGCCTCTATTTGGACCATGTAGAATCCTGAAGGTAATTTGCACCTAACATTTTAGAGCATTTAGTCTGCAATAGTTTATATTGGGGCAACACAGCTGTGCTTAGTTTTCTAACATTGAATTCGCCTCAGAGCTGTGCTGTGTGCTTTACTTAAGCCACATTCATTGTTTATTATTGCCTCAACTGTAATAAAAGAACAGCTATATTGCTGATATATATATGGAGTATGAGGTTATCTAGTTTTACAGCAGCTCCTGCTAGTACCTTTATATAGTTCCTGAAATGCTATTCCATGCTTTCATACATTCAATACTTTTTGGTGGAATGCAACAAATACTCTGCTTCTTATAGCAGTGCTGTCACATAGTACAGCTGTGTGTGATTCTGTACCACTTTGTACCAGGACAAATAATGATCCAAGGTGTAAAATACAAAATGATCACATACTAAGTGCTCAGAACTACTGTAGCTTTTTGCTGCTTTCTCCTGCTTCAGTTCTTTAAACATTTAGCTTTTCAGTAATGAGACTTTATCTTTGTAAGAAGCAATTATTTTCCATTACTCACGCTGTAATACAGCTTCTGACTGGTATATCTGGGTTTCATTCATTTTGGAACTATTTTTAAGTACTATATCACACACCTGCAGGTTGTCAGCCACTATGGTGATGAACTGTACAGCCTACATGATTATTCGGGATTCTAAGAAGGAATATATATATAATAGATTTGCTCTTTATCCATGGTGGTACTAGAGAACATGCTGGAAGTGCATGTGTCTTGGTTAAACGTTTTACTTGATAAGTTCTAAGACCCTTTGGTAAAGATACCTTACATTTCAACTCTACTCAAAGAAAATATAGTATTCAAGACCCCTGAGAAAATACTGTGGGTTTAGACTTACTGGTGGGAAACAAGAATTCCAGGTTGCTGTATCATCATCAGCTATATTTAGGTTGACATTGCAGCAATCGATCTGTGTGGTGCTCAGCCCGTGGGAGATCCCAGCATCCCATATTTCTTCATTTTGTTGTCTCTTCATGCTGGCCAGCATCTGTAGTTCGGATGAACTCAGTCTGTTTGACTGGTACTTCTTCCTGTCATACTCCTGTGAAATAAAATGGAAAAGTCAACAATACAGACAGGATCACCGAACAGAATAGATGAATGAAACCCAGAGAGACCTTGGAGAATCTCTCACAGAATCTTCAAAAAGCTTCAATACTGAAAGATAAACAAAATGTTTACTAGAAAAAAATTACTTGACAGATTTCTGTTAATCTATGAAGATCAAGCATATTTATAAACAATTATAGGAAGGAAGAACACCACAAGAACTGTAATGAACTGCAGTTTTGATGCAGGGTGTTTAGTGAAGTTGCTGTTCCACTGCAATTAAAAATAGAAGATAAAACCAGACCAGTTCAAAAATCCATCAGCTGTTAAATGCAAATCTTGAATTAAAGCCAATCCCACAGTTACCACTGTATCATCAACACCATCAATGTAATATTTAGTTATTGGTCAAGCACATCATAAAATTTCTCTGGAAAGCCATTTCAACACTAAATTTCAAAGGTTAATCTGGCAGTTGGCTAATGTATGACTTTTCAAGTAAACTTCAATGTCTTTTAACTTTTCTTCAAATCCACTGGTGGAATTGTTAATATAACCATAATTGGTATACCTAACTTGATCCACAGGCCAAAAGCTGCAAACACATAGTAACCATTTTGCAGCTGGTACTTAAGCCTCACTCAAAACCTTAAGATAAGATAGTTTTAAGTCACCCAACCTTGCTGTTGGCACTATCTTTGTTTAAAGAACACTTCCTTTAAGAAAAGCTTTCCCCTTTTTAAAGGGTCCACACAGATTGCTCTTTCACAAAGGAACAAGTCTAGTACTTGAGAAATTTAGTTTTAGTTCTAAATATAAGTACAAAGCATATCTGCTTGAAAAGTGAACCCAGGCAGTGACCAGGACTTGAATGGATTGAGATCACTGGAGTATTGGCCAGTGGGCTGTGAGACACTATATAACAATATTTCAAAGAGGGACAGAGCTTTGATTCTGGTGAAGAGAATGGAGCTTTTAGACCAGGAACGTATCATATTCATGGCATAAGGGAGGATCTCTAATAACTGAAGACCTCAAGAACACACATAAGTCAGCAGTACAAGGGATATTAACACTGACAACTTTTCTTGCTATGAAATGTGGTGTGTAATGTTTTAGTGTTTCTTTGAGGGGTACAGAAGTCACCTTACACCAGAATTCATAGTGAAATTATAACTCCTTTGCTTGCTTCCTATGTATATAAGACACAAAGTACAAGAGATGACAGAAATACAAAACGTAAGATGACAGAAGCAGTTTGCAGTTACCATTCCTTTTTTACAAACCTCGCTAATGAGGTCCAAGCTTAATTCCTGAATATTGTGATGACTATGAACATTTTTAATCCTAAACTAATATGAGTTGTTTTCTCTAGACCTTTTCTGAATGCCTGTTACTAGCTCAGTGACTATTAGTCATTTGTTCACCTCATACAAAGCTCTTTGTTGTGCTTAGGCAGCCTGCTTTGTTCTAATCGATCAATATTCTTCCAGATCTGAAGCTGCTGTAACATTTATTGATCTTATTGAACATGCTGATTTCCTGTTAATTTTCCTATATGTAAACCTTCTTCAATGATTTGATTATTTTAAGAGAAGCTTTGCCTTATCTTTCTTCCTTCATATAATTGGTATGCAGTCATTAAACTGACTGAATGAACTGGTGCTCTGCAGCATAAAAGCACAAACTGTTGAAAGAATTTTTTTTCTCATTCTCCTTTTAATAAAAGCACAAGAAATTACCCAAACGTGCTTGTCTTTTCCTTTACATCTATGAAGAAAGATGCATAGATTTTTGGAATTATTACAGCATAATTCTAAACACCTGCTGTTCCCCCTCCCCAGCTTATTTCAAATTGTCATTCTGTTTTCTGCTTCTGTAATGGTCTTACTCCGAAAATACCATACTCAGGAAGGAGAAGAGTTGCTATGACCATTTTCTGTGTTAAACACACCCTAAAATAAACTAATGAAGGAGAATAGTTTGGAATATTTATTCCTCAAGTTCAGATGTTTACTACCAAAAAGTCTCTTCAAAAATTTTATAAAGTCTTCATTGGTTTTCAAAGAGAGAATTTGAAAACTGAATTTGAAATTAAGTTAACTTCGTAATTTAGGAGAATCTTTTTATGTAAGAAGTAATTTTGCAATACTCATAAATTTGTCTAAAATTAATATTTCATTTACTAATTAAAAGCTTATCTTGTTTATTTGAATATCTTTCCCTTACAATAAAGGATTTTTATTAAGCACTTAAAACTTTTGCTATATTGATAAAACCTATTGTTTAAAGGATTTTTTTCATATATAATGACAACTGCATTCTTCTAGGTTCAAATAATTTATTCAGAATTGTTTGAATGTAGTTATATGTGTGGAAAACTTTAATTACCAGCTAGCTACATGCTTGCAATATTTCCCAGAGGGCTATACTTCTTTCTTAATTAAAAATATTTGCACTTAATAGTAGAGAACTCTATTAAAACATGAATTAAACATTGCAAGAAACCAGGTCTTTAAAGCTTATGAAGCAGCCGGCAAATCAATTGCAGAAGACTTGGTTAAGCACTTTTTTCCGTTACTAGTCTCCGGTATGAGCACAAAAAGAAGTGTCAAAGAACCCCATGGAAGGGCTTCTGTAAAATTTTAAGACCTAGATCTGCCAGCTACTTTAATCTTATGTTTTGTAGCAGTAAAACAAAATCTGTAGCTAATGAGTTTCTATACATTAATAATAGGATTTGTTATTGAAAAAAAAAATACTTACAAGCAGCAAATCACATGTGCAACATATTTACAGCTACAAGTGCAGTATGGTAATAACCTTATTGTCTAAATTAGTAATCACCTATTGCAATCCACCCAGAGAGTTTACATTTAGCTGTGTTCTACAGGACAAAGTTGATGACTGCATTAAACACAGATAATACCTTTAAGGAAAGTAATACATGTATAATTTCATTTATTATGGACAAATAGGTTACAGTTATTATAAGTAATAAACATAATTGAACTGTAATTGGAACAATTTTCTAAAACTTGAAAGTATCAGGAAACAAGGAATACATTTAATTGCAAAAATGTAAGTAGCTACTGGAAAAAAAGAAAAAATAAATTCCTATAAGCTATAATAGGAGGATAAGGGAATGAAAAATATAAACAAATTTTATTATACACATTCACTTCATATTACCATCTCTAAGAAAAAGAGAATCAGATTATTGGTATCAACTGGGGCTTTTCCTATCACTGAAAATTACAGAAACATTATCTTCCTTTCAAATAGAAATGAACCCATGCATTGCTTTCTTCCACATTTTCTACATCACTAGTGGCAATTCTAATGTCTTTTCCAGATCATAAATACATAGAACATATGCTGCTATTGAAAGGATTTTCTTTGCTTTTTAATTTTTTTTTTTTTTGCTTTTCATAGCCTTTAAAATCACAAGCCACTGATACTTCTCATGATAAAAAAATCTCAGCACTGTTTCTGATTTTCACTTGCAATGCTGTTTCATTCCCCTTCCTTCCCCCTAATATATTTCCTTCCCAAAGGAAACCAGTCTCCACAACCTTCATGGAAAATGATGTTCTGTTTTTATCAGGAAAAGTGCAGGGCCTTCACTAATCCAATAAACTACTTGCATGATAGAGGAAGAGATTTCCAGAATCCCCAGTGTGAGACAACCTCACAGCACTGAGAGACACATAAACCCCAGCCCCTGCACCAGCACTAAAAGAGACCCATTTCACAGAAATTAATCTGTGGCGGGGCAGGATGAGCATTTCCCTATTATGGATGCACAGAAAAGCTGAACATGCTTTCCTAGACACTATTCTTGGATCTGGTGCCCAATTCAGGCACAGATTGCAGTTCTGTGCCTGGATTTCCATCACTGCAGGGCTGTCCATCCTCACAGCAGCCCCAGGCAGGAGGCAGAACCTTGCAGTGGGGTGGCTCTGACCCAGCAGCAGCAGCCATGTCCCATGTAAGTCATCACTCCTGCTTCCCTCTTCACAGAGGCTGTCAAATCAGGTAACTAAAATTGCTGTATCAACAATTTCAAACTAAATTTCAAACTAAAATTGCTGTATCAACAGGTCACAGAAATGCTACACAGCAAAATTCCCCCAGCAGAATCACAGCACACCCCTTTTCCTACAGCAGATGAGGCAAACCAAAAGGACACAAAAATTATAGATGTCCATTTCCTTCATGCAAATGAGGTACTAGTCATATTCTAAGACATGAAAGTAGAAACATATTTTCAAACAATGCATAACTACTTCATAGAGCCCCCTAAAAAGAGAAAAGTCTATTCTTTTGGTCCCCAGAGGTGTGCAATACCTGGGGACCAATAATACTGTAAGAAATTCAAGATATATCCAAAATATTAGAAAACAAACCCAACGCTTACAATAATGATCATGCAGTAGTTCAATTCAACATCCCTGGGTAAAAATATCCAAAAAAATTCACAGAACAGGGACTAAGTAATCCTGGGACTAAGTACCATAAAACTCCTAGACCAGTAAAAGAGACACCTGCTAGGGAATATGACACACAGCCATGAAGTAGGAATTGGCACAGGTAAGAATATTAATTAAAAAAAAATCATTGTTTTTTTTATAAAAGAAGAATAAGAAAGTATCTGGAATGAGACAATGCATTAAAAAAATGAAGATACATATTTTTTTTCCCACAAATAGCAGTTAAAGTTTGAAATTCACTGTCACAAGGCAAAGGCCATATAGATGCAAAAAGCAAACACACAAATCTATGGAAAAAACCTCCACCACCAGTTATCCACCACAGACACCATCTTTCCTGAAGAAATGGCCAAGCTAAGGACTGCTGGAAGGAAGCCTGTAGGGCCCTGCTGCTGAGGTACCCCCAGATGCTTTCCCTGTCCTTGCCCTGTTCTCTCCAGCCATCGAGGGCTGACTGCTGGACAGAAGCTGCCTGGCTGCTGGCTCTCAGTCACATAATTTGTCACTGCTCAGGGCTGACACAGAGAGACCATGAAGTACCCAAATTAACACTTTTTCTATGGTCATTCATTAACACAGCAATTTAAAATCTGCCAATTTTCCTCTGTAATCTTTCAGCCCCAAACTATTTTCTAACTAATTTATTTACAAAATGTGAGTTGCTCAATGACACATCTTTTTGTCTACAAACCTTTTTGATTTCTTTTTTATTCGGAGTATTATTTTGTGTGCCACAAACCCCTACAAAGTCAACTTTTAACAGAGCACATTAAATGCAATTATGATGAAGCCAGAATATATTTGAATGAAAGATGCACTATTAATCACTTCATGCAAATGGGTATATCTAATATAGCTCCTCTATACAATCTAGTAATTCAATTTCAAAGTAAAAATCACTTACACAAGTTTGTGCTGTCAGACATGAATTTCCATTTGAGACTTTCTTGAGAGATGTTTTACTGACAGATCTTTCAAATTGATCTGAAACTCCTTCATATCTTTCAGTTTCTTTAGATACATTTCTAATTACTCTAAAGGATTTGGATTTACTTTGAATCGGAGAAAGAGAACGGATAGGCTTTAAAGTTCTCTGGAAGCTAATAGATTCTGTTTTTCTCATGGTGGAACTCTGTGGTTTTGATAAGATGGCCTCTTCAACATTATATTTGCTGTGTTCCTTATTCTTTGAGTATTCATTTCTCTGTGACATCTTATTTAATGGAATCTCTTTAAAAACTGCTGAATCAGATGTTCCTTGTCTACCGTGGCTGTTCTCAATGTTCTCAGTACTCTGGATGAGTTCACTGTTGTCATCCTAAATTTAGGAAACAAAGCAAGAGTGGTTGGCTCCCTCTCATCATTACACAATTCAGTTAAACACTTCAAAATCTCTCTTTAATCTCTGCTTCCTGTTTCTAAATTTACAAGGATTCTAAAAAACAGCTGCTTTTCCTGGAAAATACACTAACTATACCATAAACATATTCTTACATCTGAAGCTGATTGCACTTTTCAAAATGTCAGGTCAGATTTTGAATGCTGGTAACCTCCAAAACCTGTGTCTTTCCTGACAATCATAATTTCAATAGCATTCATTACAGCTGTAAACCAAAGCTAAGCAATGCGTCCATGACAATGTCTTTCCATCGAATTATTAATATTCCATATTTTCACATTGCATCTTCAACTTTAATGTAGAAGCAGTAACTGCTGCTGAGATCACTTTGCTCTGCTCTGGTAATCATATGGTAGTGGATATCATATTCATTACCATTTGAATACAATTTAAGAATTTTAGAGGTTAGTTTATTAACATTATATCCATGCTTCTAACAAAGTCTCTGCAAAATATCCCATGAATCAAGTGTATGATGTTCACTCATACCCCATCTCAACAGCAATCAGCAGGACTGAACAGATGGAAAGAGAAATAATGCAGGAGTGTATCTAGTGTTTGCCTCAGTGCTCTTATTCCCCAGAAAGAAAGAAGAGCAGCCTCACCCTCATCTCATGACGCTGCTCCTCTGCCATATGTTCCCACAGAGGATGTAAGGCAGTCTCACCTGCAGTGCCTCTCGCAGCTGAGGTGCAATCCTGCTGCACGTAAAAGTGATCCAAGATTGTTACTGACTTCAGTGAGTCCAGGATTACACAGCATGAAATGTATGTTCAAGAAGATAATCCCTCAGTTTTATTAATGGTACACATTTTGGAAAGTTATTGTTTCATTCCCTCAGTTATTTTGTAAAACTGTTAAATTCAGTCACTCTTGCTATTATGCAACTCAATTACATATTACTTCTCTACTGTGAGCTACAGATTCAAATGCTAAGAAACAGATTTTATAGTTAAAAGTGAAATATACTAGAATGTTCATAAAAATAGGAACTTTAGCAGTTGCTCTAATGACATAATGAAATTATTGCACATATTTACAATTCAGCAAATTTCTATATAGTATAAAATGAAACAAAATAGATATACTAAAAAAATGTTTTCTTTCATTAATTTCATTGCTGGAAGATTTCTGCATTGCAAAAGAATTAAAGTTGGTGATGTTCAGACAGGATATGCAGCAGAAATATCAATAATCAAGCTGGAATTTTGTATTTCACTTTCAACAATGTTAATGAGCAAAACCAGTCTCCATTTGCAGTTTTAAAAGACACAATGAAGTCTTATTTACTGAAGTCTTGAGCATCCATAAAGGTCATGAATCTCACACATATCTATGATGCAGGCTTTCCTAAAATCTTTTTTGTAATAATGATGCACAGATCTGGAATCTCTCTGTTAGCATAGGGGCTGACAGAGTTAGGTTCCTTTTGTCAACTTGTTACACAGGGTACACCTGCACTGAGTCCTGTATCTGGTTAGACACAGCAACCTGACAGAGACAAATCTACCTGTTGGTGTATAGGGAAAAGATGATTTATTCTCCCTGTCTGGCTTGAAGACAGAATCTTATCCTAGGAGTTTGAGGATGAGGACTGCTTTATCAAGAGTTACATGCACAAAGTGACCTACCTCCTCACTGCTGTCAGTTCCTTCAAAGCTGTCTTCAGTTCTGCTTTGCTCATGTTCTCCGCTACTGTCTAGCTCCAATTCCAGTGGGAAAATGTAACTTTCTGGTGATATATTTGGAGACTTTCCATAAGGAGCTGATCGAGGTTTTGATGAAAATGTGAAAACCTCTTTCTTACTCGTTTGCAGATCAGCTGCTTTCCTGCTGTGATGTTCAACAGAGGCATTCTGGGCTGAGGGTAAATTACAGCAGGTTGAACTTCCAGTAGCTCCCAAGTGCTCCTTCCTATCCAACTGAATACTCTCAGTGAGCCTCTCTGGAAACACCCATTTATCTGAAACATACAATTTCAATCCCAAATATGTAAATTGTGAGCTACTCTGATCATTCTTATTTTCTCAGAAAGTTGGACAGCAAATTAAGTTTTTCTAATACAGAAATGTTTTGCCTATCAAAGAAGAATAAGAGTAATGAGGATGCAATGAAAAAGATCAGGTTGCTTTCAAAGTGCAGCAAGGAAATAAAAAAATTCTAAGCAGAGCTCAAAAAGCATACAGGCTTTGGTGCGAGACGTGCAAGCCTGCCATGTGGAAACCTGAAACTGTTTAGCCATCAACATTTGAAGCCCACAACTTAATTTTATTCTAGGAAAGCATTATTTTATTTAATATGGCAATTTATCTTTTTTTATAGGCATTTTTTGCATCTGACATTTAAAAAATAATCACACATTGGTGAATAGTTCATAATATTATGATCTGCTCCTTCTTTACTGCTGAAATTCCACACTTTTACATTCAGAACTTTTATTTTAAATCTCAATTTCAAACTACTGTTCTGATAAAAATGTGTGACATGAAAAATGCATAAAGATATCTGTTTCACCAGGTTTTCTTGAATATAGCCACAACTAATCTGACAATTTTAAAACAATCAATAAACTACAGAAATGGATTTAAAGATTAAGTGCAGCAGATACACATGAAAAGACCATTTTTATGTTCTTATTGTTAACTTATATTTTACTGTTTGGAATAATGGTATAGAAAAAAATGTCAATTTGATTGATTACAATCAATCTCAAATAGCATCTAAGAAAAGGAGAATTGCTCAAGTATGCAATACTCCCTTATCTTCATTAAAGGTAGTGTGGTGTGGATTATTCACTAGATATTGAAACTTTCCAGCTCCATAAAATAAAGTTACCATCAACCATATTAACAAAACTCAATGAAAAAAATGTACTAAAAATGTAATAAAAAAGTAGCATGCTTGTCACCACAGAAAACAGTAAGTTTAGTGTGGTATTTTGGGCTTTACTGTGATATTTTACTTTTAGTTTTGTTAGAATTACCACTTCAGGCACATTCAGCAGCTTGGGGGGGAGTGGGAGGGTGGGACGAAATCTCAATCACCATAAATAAAGGCAAAAGAAAGAAGAATGAGATGCCAGGAGAAACAGCTGTCTTCTTACTGGGTTGCTGTGCTTTTTTCCAGTTTACTGAAGACAGCTAGTAAGGCTACCAAACTCCAGTTAATATTCAGGAACCAGTGGATAGCCAAGACTTGATGTAACTTGTATGACCATGGTTTGCATCTTCTTGTTCCAGAAAAGGCCATTTTTCAATCTCTTCATGAAGACCATCTTTATTAAGAACTTCCAAATAACTTTTCAAATAAACTCTTACTATATTAGAAAATCATTCTAATTTAAAACAATGTAGTATATTGTGCTTTTAATTATTATAAGTCTTGAAAACTGAAAATGTAAATGATTCCTTTATTTTATAAATATTTTGGACTAGTTCTTCCAAGATCATCAAGAATGAGTGAGACTACTCAAAACTTTTAGGCAACACCCATCAATGAATAAACAAAATGAATTTTAGTTCTGATCTATAATTACAGGTTCTTCAAAGGAGGGTATTGGGGCAAAATTCTCCAGTCTACTACCATTCAAGATTGTATCTACCACATTCCTCTGATAACATATTTTCCAAAGGCAATTGGAATTACGTGTGAAGGGTGGTACACAAGTAAAACAACTGAAAGTGTAAGAGAAAACACAGTCATGAACATTTCACAGATTTTATGCTTTTGGTATACTATATATCTATATAAGCTACCTTTATTATGCATCCGTTTCCCCTATAAAAATGAAATAAGAAGAGAGATATTTTAATGAGCTTTTCAAGTGAGCCTGAACATAGTATTTGGATGTTCAAGAACAAAGGCTCAGGAACTGTTTTTCCCCCAACTGATTTTGTGATCTAACATGATTGAAAAACTCTGTCACACTTAATCAGTGAATAATCATAATTTTTAATCATTCAATTATTATATCCTGTAGGAATCTGGCTCATCAAGACAGATTGTTTTGAAAGTCTTAGGACCTGGAGATGCCTTGTTCACAACTCACTACACAGAAATCACAAAAAATATTACTTATCCCCAAACTTCAACTAGACAACTCTTCTGGATGTGAAGAATCTTTTTCCCAGCTATTTTGTTTGCTAAGCCTAAAATTATGTTTACCCTTTTTCCTAAGGCAAAAATATTAAAATTTTTACTTGCTGCTTTTTTCAAAACAAACAAACAAAATCTTCATAAGTTACCTAGCTAAGAAATGTTTTGTATTTTTTCTTATCTCAGCACTTTGCAGTCTTCTTTCCAGTCTGGCACCCACCCTTCCAGTTTAATCTAGACACATTTTATTAGGCTTCCCTGTCAGTGTTGAGACTAACACCAAAATACATAACATACACTCTTTCAGTATTTGGAAGGTCTTTTCTCCATGATAAAATTAGATTTGACATGTCTCATGCTGCCTTTGTGGTTTACAAATATGCACTAATAGCTCAGATCACTGTGAAGAACCCTCTAGGGTATGGTTATATACTTAGTGTACAACCTACTTCAGGAGAATTCATTAATTCTTATGCACATAGAACTGGGAAAGAGTAGAGTGGAACAGCTTAATTTTTTTGTCTACTGACTTAGCAGTAGACTAACTGCACACTGCACACACTGCACCACATCCCACACTGCAATCTCACCTGTTCTATTCTCATTCTAGAATAACTTCCAATGCAGTTGCTGCTGTTTAATTTGTAGAGGGCATTACAGATAAAATTGTGTAATTAATTCTGAAGGAAACAATGTGATGAATCCTTTTCTTTTTAAGATTTTAAGTCAATTTTGAATTAAGTATCAAAACTTTATTCAAAAGTTTGGAAAATAAATACTAGAGCAACAATTTTTATCAAGTGTTTAGAGAACATGAGGCAATTAGAACCTTAAACTCCTGACTTCTAATCCTGGTTCTGCCTCAGACATCCAAAAATTTCTTATACTTTAGTCACCATTACAATGTCTTGCCCAGACCAAAAGGAATTCAGAAATACAAAGAATTACTTTAAAATTATTACTATTTATATAATAGCCTGAATATTCTACATTCATTTCTAGAGTTGAAGAAATATACTTGAGTTAAGAATAAGTCAAATCCAAACATTCATTTGCACAGCACTTATTCTTAATGAAATATCCAGGGGGAAGACAAAAAAGTCTGTATGATTTGAAGAGGACATTTTATGCTGGTTACAGAGTTCAGCAACTTCTGTAACCTGCAGTCAGTGTAGGAGTCTTTCAATAGTCCTCAAGTGAAAGATACAAGGAGTTTTGGACTAAACAAAATCCCATTACTTCTCCAACAAAAACTACACTAGAATTTCTTTTCAACTCATAATTTCCATGTCAATTGTAATGAATAATTTGGAGTGCATTCTGAGTAAAATATGCAAACTACTACATAATCACAACATTGCAGCAAACAACATAAATGCAAGAATGATCACCTTAAAATCTAATTAACTCTTTTACACAGTAAGACTTATGCTAAAGCTTTTAATCACAGCCTAACTTTATAATGAAGACTTCAGCATTGAGTAAATAAGATTGGCATAAACAGTGTTCACTCATTTTATTTCTTCTCTCAGTTCAAGTTTCCCCCCCTTTGGAATAGGAGCAGCCTTTCCTGATGAAGAAGTGTCTTATAGGAAGTTCTTCAGAAAAAATAAATCCAGTACTAATGGATAAAGAAATCATTAAGTCATCTACATAAAATTAGATAACTTCATAAACTGAAAAGAAACAGAAATCTGCAGACTGAGAGTGACAACAGTGACAAGCAATGAAAATACAGGGAAAAAATTTGTAGAACTGTACCCTATAAACTCACATAATGCATTTATCTGCGTGTTCACACAACTAAGATTATAAAGAAACAGTTTTCATTCTTTCAAATTCAAACAGCAAAAGAACAGTTTACACACATCCTTCTTCCTGAGTTCCCTGCCTCTGAATTTATGAGAGGGCATTAAGACAGGCCAATCTACTGCCCTAAAACTGTCTTTTCACATCACCCATATTTTCATAAAATAACAAGTGTTGATCAAATTTTTTTTTTTTTTTTTTTTTTTTAATTCCGGCACTATATAGAGGTTTTGGTGTTCTAGATGAAAAAAAAGACAGCGATTCCTGCCCCAGAGTTCTCAAAATTCAGATAAATAGGAAGGAATTAAAAAATTCTCCAGATGAATTCTCTATTTGCCTGAACATCCTGGATCTCTTTCAGTCAAATTACGGAACCCGTAATAGCAATTATGAATTACTGAAAATGCCAGAGTATATAATCACTTCTAAACATCCCCCAAGAATAAACACTATAGAAACCACTCACAGTATGAAGGAAAATCTCATTGGTCAATTCTGAGCACATTTGAATAGTCCAACAACTTTTCAAATTAGTGACTATGCCTTCTAAGAAAAAGTAACACTAGTTTTTCATAGAGACAAGGGATACTTTTGCCACAATAGCACAACTCCCATACTCATGCAAAGGAAGTAGAGAGACAATGTATGACAAAAAAATTCACACTTTTTGGCAGACAGGTGAGAAAGGAGAAAAAAACCAAAATGTAAGCTGAGGTATCTTTCTGTGAATAACAAAAGAAATAAATCACCACTGAACTCTATAAACAAAACAACCCTTTCTCCCTCCTTTCCCCCTTCCCCTCCCCCCTCCCCTTATGATATATTACATAGGTACTGTAGTTAATATTCTAAACTCTTATCTAGGACAAGTAAAATTTCTTGTACATTTCATATTTGGAGTCTTCAGTGTTAAATTTATTAGGGATTTAAAGAATAAATTATTTTTAGTTCTTTTCCTTTAATCATGAGAGCATGGAATTTTTCTTTTGATATTCATTCACTGCTCTGGTACTCTGCTTAATCCTGCAAATCTTTATCAATGCTCTAAAGCAATTCTGTTGCAGGGTGCTTGATTTCCATAATCCCCCACAACACAGATGTTTATTTTTTATATGAACCGCTTTTAGGTTCTTTGAAATTTACAACAGTCCCTCAGACAACATAGAACTGAAATGTAAAATAACATAAAATGAGTACCATACCATTGGTTATCTCCCATGTGGGTTTGGCTGTATTTTTTAGAGATAATCTTATATCACTGTCTTTGTCCGGTGATGGTACTTGTGGTGAGGTGAGCTGAAAATCTGCTTCTCCACTTACAGATGTTTTCTGAGTCTGAATTTCAGGGTCTGAAATGCAATGCAGAAGTGAAATGCCTGTGAAGACTCATATTGTGTACATATGGGGCACTGTACTGACAAACACCTAAACAGCATGGGAAGCTTGTAGGGCAGCAGGAACAGGACAGCCACAAGGAAGGAGAAATTTAACACAAGGTATGGAAGAAGGGCAAACCATAGTAATTATAAAAAACAGGCTTGCAAAAGACTGCAAAACAATCAAGAACCACTGCAGCAGCTCAGTTATTTTCACAGCATGAGGAAAGAGAAGCATGTGTATAAATTGTAGCTACTCCCAGCAGGTGATGATCCCTGGCTCAATCACTCACAATACAAATAGCTGCAGAGAGAGCGAGCATTTATTCACCCTCATACAGGAGAATAAATCATGATTTAATGAATATGTCTTCAGTAATTAATTAAGTAGATAAAGGATTAGAAAAACAAAGAATTAAGCCCTAGATTCAAAGGTACAGTCATGCAAAAATTTGGAAGTTTCTACATATTCTTTGCTTTATGCTCTTACCATTTTGATATTCATTTGCAGTTGTTTGGAGAGTACTTCTTTTGCCTCCTTGATCTAAAGTATCATTGCATGGCCAGAGTGGTAGCTCCAATCTCTCAACTTCTGGTATGGTTTCAGTTGGCATTCCTGAATTTTGAAGTTGGCATGATGCTTTGCTACTTAAAGTCTTTGTTACCTTGAAAGACATTATTTCTTGATGAAAGACAAAAATATAACAAAAATACTCAAAGGTAAAACACAGATTATGAATCACACTTTTTTTTCAAATATATATTTCCAATTTTTTTTTTAAAAACGCTATATTTTCACAAAGCCTCCTGGTCGGCTCTATTCAGTGTGGTATCTTCAATATTTACAGTCAAGTAGCAAGCAGAGATTTTTTTTCACTGAGTGAATGGAGCAATGCAAAGAAAAGGGGGAAAAAATTAGAATTCACTACCAGAATAAAAAATCTAAAACTTGTAGCTAATCTAGACCTCAAGAGTCTTTTCTTCTTTGAAGAAAGGAATATAATTTTACATCCTGACTTTCAAGTGACTTCCTACACAAGAGTTGGCTGGATCCCTTATTCTCAGTGTTACACTGAAAACTGTAGTCCTGATCAGATTCCAAAATCTGCATATTTGTTGCTGGCAGACTGGGATCAGGTGTTTTCCCTGGAATTATAATTGACAGCATCACATGAACTACTGTAAGGCTGACTATCAGAGCACCCTGAAATGTAATTTCTGCTCTGCATTATAGCTCTCATCTTAAGGAAAAATATTTACACACACACACACACACACAGAAACTTCAGCAGTCTAGAACAAAAAACTCAGAAAAGTAAGAATGATAAGAAATCAAAGAGTAATTTCAGTAGAAAGAGGCATCTTTATGTCTGATGCTGAATCAACCTGTTTAATTTAAGTTTTGATACCTTCAGAAGTTTTGAATTTCCCCAATCTCTTGTGACTCAGTTGCAATACTGAACCACTTCTTTGATGTATTTAGTCAGAGCTTCCCTGCAATTAGGGCCTGCTGCCCTTGGCCTTTCAGGGCCCCTCTTAGAAGAGGCCTGACTTCTCTACAGCCCTGCATTCATTGAAAATAGCAACTAGATTTCCCCTTAGCCTTCTGTCCTTTGGGCTCAATAAACCCATGCCCTGTGCTGGAGCCACCCATGCATTGCCCCTGCCCTCCTCTGGAGGTTACAGGATCTCTGGCACTGGAGGTCCATGACCTATCACAGTTCTCTGGAGGCAGCCTCTGGAATAAACCTTTAGTGTAACTCATCTGCTTATCAATATCTTCCTTTGAAAAAGGGTCAGTGGTGTTGTTGGAATTTAGCCCTTCTTACCTTTCCAGGTACCTTTGCATTGGTTCTTCTGTTCGAAGATGGAGGTGGCCCAAGGATTTTTGACCCAAATGCAATATGTGATGCATCCTGAGTTTTTCTGTTGCATATGTTGCCTCTACTACCCAAGATACCTAAGTTAAGAAAATCAAGAGTTAAAAAAAAAAAAATTGCAGCACTTACAAACAATAAAAAGTAGCATTTTTTTTAGAATCAACTAAAAGAAAATAATTATGAACACTAAACATATATAAAAGTTATATTCCTTTAAAGTGCATTCCCTAGAAATATAGGAATAGCAAATGCACATTTTATAAAAGTGTGTCAACATATCAGCAAGAAACTTTTGGTCTATTATAGAGACATAATTCTAATCTTCTTGCTTTAAAGATTTATTTAAAAGTGGTTTATTTATAAACAACAACAACAACAAAAAAGGTTTGCAGGATTTCCTTAGAACTTCAATGAAAATCTAACTTCTGACAGGAAGAAAAAGAACTCTAATTAATAAATAACAGAATAAATAAATAATAACACAAAAAAACCGAAGGCAATACTGTCAAGGTATCAGCCACAGCTCAGAGAACTATTTACATGTACCCTGCTTTTTGAAATTACTGAATATACTGTATTACCAGGGCTGAGCCCTAATATTGCAAATGCACTCTACTGCTGCTAAAATATTCTACCCTTTTCACTATTTATTTTTTTTACTGCTTAAACTGTAGATTTATTTTTTTGCTAAGTCTTTTAAAGCATGGCAATTGCCAACCAGTCTTCAAGACAAAAAGTAAATATAGAATGTAGGTGAATGTTCTCCAAAAAATTTAAAAAAGAAGGACAGTAAAATGGTACACATTAATTTTACCATTGGGGTTGTAGAGCTGCATGTACTATCTATTTTCCTTTTATAATTCTCCAATATTGTCAGTGAATTCTCCTTTCCAGAGCTGATAAAAATGGTGTCTTCACATTAATTTATATTTAATATTTACAATGTCCAAAGATATTTTCTTGCTACAACTTGTATTAAATTGCTATCTCAGTTTAGAGATTTGACACCTTCATAAAGCAATAAAGTAGAAACAAAATATTCTGCCTATTCCCCTGAGCATTTTTCATAACCTTATTTCAAGATCAGCTTTATTTACAGTGTCATCAAGGAAATGAAAAACAGATCATACATTAGCCACCAATTTCATCATTTACTGTACTAATAAGTGCAGAAGAAGCTTCTTACTGCCATTACCTGACTCTTTTCCTGGTGTGACATTTGATTGCTGTAAACAGCTTCCATTTCACAAGATCAGATGACCTGTCTTGGTTTAGCATCAATTTCTTTTTACTGGCTACCTTGGGATGTTGTTAGCTCCAATTAGAAAAGCTGATTTGCATTAAAATCTCTCTTAATGACCACATTAATTGACTGCAATTAATTACCTACATCTACACATAACAGTGTGTTGATGACATAATGAACTAATATGTATAATGAAAAGTGGATGATACTAAAATAATTTAGACTTTTGATTATCAAATAAACAAAAAAGTTTAGTGGATTAAAAGAAATTTTTCCAGTTAAAATGTACCTAAACATACCAAACCTTCCAATTTCAAGCAGGCTAACTTCTGAAATTTAAAAAACGTGTCTGGAAGGACACATGCTATGTTAATAAGGTGGGATTGAAGACCACTACTGTTTATGAATAATTTTATAACTCCAGATTGCCAATAATGAACATAAATAATCTATGTTTCTCTATACTGCTGTTTTTAAATGATGATCTCTCTACAAAATTGTTTTAAAGAGATAAAACAATACTTTGAATTAAGACAATAGCACTGTAAATATAGTTTCCTTGGTGAAATTCTGCTGTTGACTTTACTGCAGGTAGGAAGCAATACAGTTTTAAAGCAAAATAGCAGCTTTACTAAAAAGCTCTCAATTGTCTGACCCAAGTCTATTTAAGAAATTTCACATCTTGGTGTTTGTATCTACGATTCAGTTTCTACTGATTCTTGGCTTACAGATCTTACTCAAGCAGACATGCCAACTTAAACATAAAAGCACAGGAAATGCCAGTCTAGAACAGGCCAATAAACTCTTGAACATTCAGTTCCAAAGGCCAAACTCAATGCTTCAGAAATAGCACAAGATAATTCAGTATGGATTTTTTAAATCATCTGCCTTCAACACAGCTCTTAGTGTAAGGCTGGAAAAACTTGGAAGTACAAAATTGAATTTTCTCTTCACATTTTTGCTGCTGCTAAATACAATATTACTGTTACCCATATAAATTGCCAACTGATCTTGGAATCATACCAGTTTCTTTACCAGCCTCTTTTAGCAGGAGATTCCACATTTTAATCATATTCTGTGTAACATGGCATTTTCTTTTATGAGTTTTTAATTTTCAACTGCATCATCACATCAAATGTCTTGTTTTTGTGCCATGAGATAAGAAAAACAGCTTTTATTGAACATCCTTTGTATCACTGGTTACTTTATACATGCCCTTATGTAAATTTTTAATGTTTTCAGCATATTTTATGTGAGAGATTATCATTCATGCTCCTTCTCCCTGAATCACTTCTTGGTCTGTAAGCTATTTTCTGAGATGGTTTAACTGATAATGTATAAAGTATTTCAGATAATAATGCAAAAATGATTTAAAGGTTTGATACCTTTTTCATTTCCTATGAATGTGAATTTCCTGCTACTTAGTTTTTTAAAACATATTAAAATCTGAAAGTTCTACTGAGCTGTATCTATGCTAATGATAACTGGCCTGCCTTGATTCATTTAAATTTGATCCTTTAAAGCTTATCTCGAATTATCATTCCTCCCCAGTGTAGAATCCTCTGCATTTAGCAAAGCTAGATTTTATGTGATGTCATGTACCACATTTACCCTGTACAGTGGTCCCTGGACCGTAATTCTTCAACACAGTGGTCACAAGACATAAAACCAATAAACTGAAAAACTTGCTTTGAAAACTGTGGTATTTCCTGCATGTTAGCTGCGTTGTTTTTCAGGAAAAAGTAAATATGGGATTGCCTGTCTCACAAGCTTAAAATTTTCTGAAGTCCCACTCTTTTTTAAACCAGTATCTGTATCATAACAAAATTTTGCTTCCCTGTTATTTGCTTCTCTGTTGAGATTATTCATAACTATGATAAACAATACAGAGACTAGAACAAAAACCTTTTAGGTATCCTGCTGTTAGCCTTCAGCTGTAACAATAATTTTAGATTTAATCCTTTCTTTGCTTTCTCTTAGCTTTTATCCAAGTCAATAGCTTGTATTGTAGCACATGACTGCCCAGCTTCTTTAATAAATCTCTTCAATGCAATGCTGCCAAACTCTAAATTATATGGTTTATTATTTTGTAGCTTAAAGAAACACTCAAATAAGAGAAGACACAAATAAGATTTCCCTTTTCAGAGTGTAAGTTGAGGACACTACATGCTCATATTGCCAGCAAAGTTTCATTGATGTGAACATCCTTTAAAAAGAAGTATAACAACTTCACTGCAAAATGCTTCAATGTTCATTCATATCACGTCACAAATATTGTTATAAATCTCATGCTTGCATTAGAACTGTTCTGACTCCACACATCTCAAACTATAGAACAAACATGTGTCTATGTGCTTGTGGCACTACAGGTGTGCAGGAGCTGTCATGTTTCATTTGAAGACATTGGGACTCTTAACATGGACATTTACAAAATAATCAATTGTTTGTACACATACTGTATTGATTGTATTCACAGTATTTTAATACAACAGAATACCTGTTTCTTGCAGTGCATTTCCCCTACATTTTATTTTTGGCTTGTGAATTTCATTTAGATCCAGCACTTGTGTAACTTGTGGGACATCAGAATTGAGCTGGCAGGTTGGAGGAATATCATCTGAGGCCTCATATTGCCCAGGTGTAACAATGCATGTACCTAGAATCAAAAAACATGGGCATTACTTCATTACACTATGGAATTCAATTTGACTTATATTATTTGGTAGATTACATATACTTTAGTTCATATGGATTTAAAAATAAAATAGATTATGTTAATTTGAAAAATTTGCTGAAACTGGTCACTTTTTATTGCAATTTTAAAATTATATTGTATATACTTTTAGGCCAAAAATTTTGAATACAGTTATAGAAATATACACTAATGGCTGGAATAGATATGGAAAATAAACTTATTTGAAATGTCAAGAGAACAAACAAAACAATAAAGAAATACATTTTGTTAATTTTTATTACAACTCAGCATTAATTGTAACACTGATACAGTGATTTTTGGATAAAATGAACAGCTAAATAGGTACTCATACCTATGGGACTGACGTAGCAAAGAAGTCCCATATATGCAAATAAAGAATGTAACAAGCTTTAATTCCAAACTTTGGACTCCATTATACTTTCATGATAAACTAAAAAGCTGTCAACCTATGTATTCTTGTGACACCAGACACTAGCAGAATGTGAGCTGATTATCTCTGCTTTCCCTTTGATAACCAGTACAGACTGAGTTTATGAAAGCTGCTCTCTGCAAAGAAAGGAATTCATGTCAGAACCATTCTTGATGTTGCAACACAAATCCATTCCAAATTTTAGAAACTTGAATATAATAAGGAAATGAATTAGCCTATTTTCCGAGGAAAATAAGAGGAAAACACACCCTGAAACCCAGACATGAATAAGGGATCAAGTATTGAGATTCAAATAAAAAAATCAAATGTTCCATGTTGTCTTTCAGTACAGGACATATTTTTTCAATTTTTAAAATTTGATTTTTGGTTTTGGCCAAGCCAGTACATTATTTATCACTGTTGGGCAATACTTAGTGATAAAAACCTACACATAAGTTCTGCATCACTATGGAAACAAGAAACTAGGTATAGTTTATGCTTGTATGCTTCAGTGTCATGAGGCAGAAAAAATGAAGTATTTCCTCTTCTGTCTCAATGATCTCATACAGAAATAATTTCTTCATATATGTGGTTTCTCCTTTGCATTTACTATAATTTTAAAAATTCAAAACATAGTGTATACTTGCTACTTGAAAAGACTAACACACTCATTGCACCTTGAAGTCAGCACTTCCACCACACCAAGGAGTTTGAAGCAAAGAACTCAACCCTTGTCCGGGTTTCTCCTGGGAAAGGAAAGCTTTAATTTTCTTCCCAGTAGCTGGTAGAGGGCTGTGTTTTGGATCTGGCATGTGACCAGAGCTGATGACATATTGGTGGTCAGTTGTTGCTCAGCTCCCCAAGCTGCCCTGTCAGGGAGCAGATGGCAGGGGGGCACAAGAAGCTGGGAGGGGACACAGCCAGGACAGCTGACCCCAGCTGACCCAAGGGATATTCCAGACCACATGGCAGTGTGCTCAGCAGATCCACTAGAGGGAAAGCTGACTGGGGGAAGCTGCTGGTGCTAAACAAATTATGCAAATTAAAAACAATTGTCCTTACTGGGTTTTATTTATCTTTTTTTTTTTCTTTGTCATTACAGTTTAGCATTATTAATGTGTTATTAGCTCAACCCATATATTTTCCTAATTTCACCCAGATTCTTTCCCCCATCCTACTGAGGGGAGTGGCTGTGTGCTGCTCATTACTGGCCACAACAGCTTTCAATACAAGTTGCAATGTCACTGCATTCAGTGGAGTTCAACTTACTGGTCCAGCCATTCTGAGAAGGAAAAAGCTTTATTAAAGAGCAATCATAACAAAAAAATCTTACTATTATTTTTCTTTAATTTGGTATGGAAGTATAGAATCATTTGAATTCAGCTAAACCTTCAGCTGTAATGAAAATTTAAGATGGGTCTAGAGAACAAGTTTAGAGGAGTAGCTGAGGGAACAGGGGTTGCTCAGCCTGGAGAAAAGGAGGCTGAAGTGAGACTTGGTAGAGAGGTAGGTTTTGGTGTCTTTTCTCAGGTAACAAGCAGCAGCACAAGAGGAAAGCGCCCCAAGTTCTGCCAGAGGATGTTTAGATTGGATTCTAAGAACACTTTCTTCATCAAAAGGGTTGTCAAGCCCTGGAACAGGCTGCCCAGGGTGGTGGTGGAGTCACCATTCCTGGTGGTATTTAAAAGCCATGTGGGTGGGGATCTTAGGGGCATGGGTTAGTGGTGGCCTTGGCAGTGCTGGCTTCACAGTTGGACTTGAAAGATCTTAAAGGTATTTTCCAACACAAACAATTCTATATTTTAATTGCCTAGATAAGGAAATTCAAAAGCATACAGAAAGTACTAATGCCCACGAGCTGTGTAATAATCATAGAATTGATAATGAACTAATTAAAAGTGTAATATTTTATTACACATACAGTTTATTAAAGCTGTTGACTCATTATGTTAGCTGCATTTTAGAATTTTGGAACTCATTTAGAATATTTAACACATTTCAGAAGCTGTTTAGGATGGAAGGGAAAAAACAATGCACCAATGGAATTAAATTAAATGAATGCCAGTGAGAGCTTGAACTGCAGTTTCCTGCTGAGAACCATATTCTCTCTGTAGACATTTTTTAATTAATATTTTTTCCAATCTTACCAACAAAAAAATCAGAGGAGTACTTACAAGGTTTGCCTACTTTCCCCTATTGGTTTAGTGTTTCCAAATGGAAGATACATCTTGCTACACTTACAATACTGTTAACTACCTCTCCTTCCGAAACCAGAAGTGTTTTTACAGGTGTGTTCTTTAAAAGCCACAAAATGAAAATTTGAATGAAACAGAAGTTGAGTTATTCCTAGGGGTGCCTTTAAAATAAGAAAGTGCCAGCTGTGCTTTTGAAATTTCTCCTATATTACTGCAAATGCCAGTGAGGAATGAAGTTCTCCCCTAGGAAAATGATGATTCAGGATTATGATGCGAGTCTGGAGACTGGTAAACTTGACCAGTATCCTGATCTATTATAAAAAAACCTGTCATTTTCAGCTCACCACCAATATTACTTTTCCAATAATTAGGATAACTGGACGTGATCTCAGGTGTTTATTATAGTTTCATAGTTGTTTCATATAATGCTTTGTTACAATTTTGTCTGCATTATTTAAAAAGAAATCTTTCATCAGCTGCTAACATCCAAAATTAAGAAAGCAAACAGCAAGTACTGCTGTTTTCAGTACTTCTCTTTCCTCTAAGATACTCTGTTCGTGGCCAAAATACGATTTCTATCAGCATAAAATACCTTCATTAAAACAAGCTCTCTACTTGATAAATCTCGCCAGAATTTTTTCAATAAAACACTTCTAAGGAATTCAGTGTTTAAAACACAGGAATACACACTATATATTTAATTAGTTGCCCTAAGTCCAACACTAGCAGACTTAATATACTGCACTACCACTTTAATTATTATGAAATCATGTAATCCTTCAAATTGCCAATCTGATGAATAAGAAGCTTTTGATTTTATAACATGAACAGTTATGATTAAGACTAGATAGTAATTGAAACACACCTTCCTCAGCTGTATCTTGAGGCTTGAATTTTAAAGTGAAGACCTTTCTTAGCTTACAGTTGGCTGAAATAATAATTCCATCCAAGGACCGGAAGTAAGCTCCTTTGAATATTTCATAGGTGAATGCTGCCAAGTCAATACACATATTGCACCACTAGAAAAGAGAAACAATACTCTTTAGTAAAACCCATGAGCTGAGGCTAACACACCATCTATACAAATAAACAAGATGGCCTTGAGGAGAAATGCAGCAATTTTCATTTAATTTGCAGAACTGTAATACATTTTATATGATTACTCATGCAAAATTCAGCTGATCAATGGTTGAAATTTTAAAGGAAAAGTAAAAACATAATGATTGTACATGCCTAATTTCTTCATAAAGTCAAGGTAGAAATATTAGCTTCTAATCGACAAATAGCAAATATTTTTGAGAAAATATTTAGGTACATACATTACTGTTCAGGTCTTAAATCTGAAATTTTGGAAGGAAAGTAATACTTGTTTTGAAGACACCAGGCAATGGATTGAAAAAATCAGTATTTAATTAAAACTGATACTTCTAGTCATGAAGTTGAAAAATAGAATAATTTGTAGGAATACTATACATAAAGCTAGCATGTGAAAATGCAAACTACGTTCTGCTGATGGAACAAACAACTTATTATATACCCTGATTCACAACCCCTCATGATGATAATAACAATCAGCTTGTGTATACAGTAAATTGAACTATCAGAGCCACGTCAAAGATCTATTTAATCACTGAAAGCAGTATGCTCCCTCCTTTAAGAAAAAGCAATGATAAAAAGGCAGATAACCATTTAAGGGAGACAGATATGTATTCAGATACACTAAGGAATATAGATCTACTCTTTAAGGTTGGTCAAGCATTAAGGTTATTAAAATATTTTGTCATTATAAATGATCAGAGCATCTAGACATATCTGATTCATGCTTTATTCTCTAAATTAAAATTCATAACTGAAGTTCATCTTCTGCTTGAATTTAACTTGGTGTACATTAATGCACACATTAATCCTGAAATACCTGTACTAGTCTGACACCAACTAACTGAAATTACACTGAAGAAAAATAATTTAATTTCATTGGATTTTGAATTAACAGCAACTTCAGGGGTATGATCTGATACATATTCATTTAAAAAAATCCAATGACTTCTTCCCACAAAGCAGAAAACCTCTCAAGTTTAAGTTACCACTGTTGCTATTACTTAAACTATCTCAAAAAATTTATAAATTCAGAGGCTTTTTGTAAAATATTTTCTCTCATGTCTAGCCTTAAATTTGCAACTGCTTAGTATACTGTTATCTAGCTCTCTTCATGCAAATATATATTTTCAAATAGTCTCATATCAAGTTTATTTTCTAAAGCAGTATTTTAGACTCCAATCCTCACATGGTTATACAGTAACCATCAGGCTTTGTATCCTGTCAACTTTTGCTGAATGTTGTGGCTGGGCATGGGTGAGTGAACATGAGACTGTTCTCATCAGTTTGACACACAGATTGTTCTGTATATGCCAGAATTTGGAAGAACCTGAAGAATGTGAAAGCAGCCATTAACTAGAGTCTACCTCCAGAGAATGTCATCAGAGGTCACTACAGGAGAAGGGACATGTGAGCAGGAGCACTATCATGAAGAAATATCAGGGACACAGAGAATATTATAGAGGCTGGATTAACAGAGAGCTGAAGAAACATTACAAACAGCAGTAATTTTGTAAAATGAGGATGAATTCCTAATATAAGAAGGCTAGAAGAGAGTCAGCACTAAGTGGTTCTGCTGCCATCTGATAAAGGGGACATACACAAGTATTTTCAATCAGTGGGAGCTGAGTTCTAAACAAGCAATAATTTCAAAAATTTCATAATATATACAAAATATTTCAGATTTTCAACCTCAGTCTAGGTAATTCTCCCAAGGTACCTACTATTTTGCGCTTGATCATAAACAGAGGAATTTTTGCATGCAGAGGGGTTACAGACAACTCCTTGTGGACTGTTGACAAATACAATCTTCTTTTAATATTGTCAAAATCCGTTATCCTATAAAAGAAAAGTCAGGAGAGAATGGAACAGAGCTTTGTCAATTCAATAATCCGGTATCTTTGGGAAATCACAAAAAACCTGTTCATGTGCAGAACCTTTATGTCAGTGACAGCAAATATGGAATTTAAAAATTCATTTACAAGATGAGTAATGAGATTTCTTTCTCCAATTCAAACTCCGTGGCTATATCCCTGCATATATAAAATCACTTTACATGCTAATTTCATTTCAACAGTCTACACTCTTTGCTAGATTTCCACAGCCCTTCAGAGTATGAAAGAATTCAATTTGTATGAACTAAGAACCCAGTAGCCTTTAATCATCACACATATTTTGGCCCCTTAAGCTTGTCTTATCTTGGGGCCTGCTAACTTGAAAAACATTATTTGCTTTCTTTCCTGAAAATGCCTCTGTCACTGCATATAGATTTTTTTCAGCTTAAAGGTAAACACAATACATTGTCTATCTGTTTTACTTCACGAGGACTTATCTTCAAAGGTGAATTATAATGCAGCAGTTTATTGCTCACTATTCAGGTCATCTCACAGTGATACCAAGGACACTGAATTACAACATTTCTAATAAATTCAGACTACAGCCATGGTCACAAAAAACCCCCAAACAAACGTTTCCTTTAAACTGATAAAATGGGTCATTTTTATGTTCTATTTCCTTCAAGTCTTGTTAGCAGCTGTACTGGTTTTGACTGGGATCCAGTTAAATTTCTTCAGAGTAGCTTGGAGAGTGCTATGCTTTGGGTGTGTGCTGGAAGCAGGGTTGGTAACTCAGGGATGTTTTCATGGCTGCTGGGCACTGATTACACAGAGCCAAGGCCTTTTCTGCTCCTCACCTCATCTCAGCAGCCAGGAGGCTGGGGATGTATGAGGGGCTGGGAGGGGACACAGGACAGCTCATGCCTGCTGACCCACGGGCTGTTTCAGACAACACAGTGCCATGCTCAGCAGAAAGAACTGTGGGGAAGGAGAAGGAACGGGGAAAGCTCAGAGCTATGCTGTTTTCCCATGCAGCCATTTCACAGCATGAAGCCCTGAGCTCCTGGAGATGGCTCAACATCTGCAGGCCCATGGGAAGGAGTTAATGCCTTGTTTAGATTCTGGTTCCATGTGCAGCTTTTGCTCCCCCTATTAAACTGTCTTTATCTCAATGCACAAGGTTTTCCACTTTTACCCTTGTGTAATCTCTTCTCCAGGGGAGGGGCCACTGTGGCTCAGCTGCTTCCTGGGGTTAAACCACAACAGCAGCACAACCTTGACATTCCCCAACTGTCCTCCCTTAACAGTCCAGAGCACAGATACTACTTTTTAGGCTGCAATCTGGGAAAATATGCTTAATGTATGGGGAAATAATGATTAATTTACCTATTATTTTGAACAAGCCTATTTCTAACAGATGGGTATTTCTCTGTAATTAGCAGCCCCTCTGCGAAGATGATAAATACTTTTAAAAAATAACTTTTTGTCACTACTTAGTGTTGCTAAAAGTAATTACTCATAATCATTCAAATGTTGGGTTTTACTTTAAAATGTGAGACTGCCCTGTAGTCTTTTTTTTTTTTTTTTTAATTTATTACTGAAAACAATTTTTCATTAGCTAAGGACTACCTGTAGCTTAAATAATTAAATTATCATCACTCAAAATTTGCAGAATAACATTTGCAGAATAAAATAAAATTTGCATAATAACCCTAAGATATTCATAGGTTTCCATAGGTCAGCTTAGGAGGACATTAACTCTGGGGTACATTACATACTTTAGTTATTTTTGCCAATTTGAGAGTTTAAGCAAGAACAGTCCAAAATATACTGCATGTATGTAAATATAAAAAAAAACCTACCAGTACAGGCAATAAAAATATATAAGCATCTTCTCGTTATAATGATAGTCATTAAGACTATCATCCAAAGCAAACTGTTCACCAACTTTCCAGAACTTGCTGATTCTTTCCTCTCCCTTACAGATAACCTGACCTTTAATCTCTTCATCCTCATAACATGGGTGGGCAAATGAAAACAAAGTGGAAGACTCTGTTATCTGTTTCATTTTTAAAGACTGGCAGTTCCTTTTAATCATATGCACTTGAAAAGCAGAAATTCCAGTACCATGCCAAGAAAAAATGATTTTATCCTCACTATTGTTATTGTTTGACAAGAGAGATTCCAGAGTCAACTGCACATATTTTTATGAATGGACAAATTATACCAAGTCCTTGAAAAGTGATTTCATCAAAAAAACCTCCAAGTGTCTTACAATGCTGATACCTGGGCTTGATCTTACTTTGGAAGAAGTTTAAGCAAGATGTGAAATAATTCCATGAAGATCACCATCAAATGGGCCACACAGCTAAGACTTTGATTAAGGCATAGTTCCACCCATCACTTTACTTCCCATATAGCCTTTGGTGAAAATCTATTAATCTAGTTTCCAGAAGCTCTTCACTCTAAATCTTGAGTGTTCAGAAGTGCTAAAAAATCAGTGCACCAAAGAAGTCCAAAGCAGTGCAGCAATGGTTGCTTGAAGCTCCCTGGATTTCCTGATTATGTGTAGAGCTGAGCAATTGTGCTGAGAAACCAGACAGCTGCAATAACCTGAATACTGAGAAACAAAAATACTATCTCCGCTGAACCTCAAACTGCATAATTCTCAATAGAGAATGTTGCTTTAAATGAGGCTATAACAGAGCAGTAGGAGCCTAGAATTAAGTCATGCATACCTCCAAACAACTGCCAATAAAACCTAAGTTCATTCTATACTATCAGTTCAATATGTTTAAATTTTACTATTTATTTGTTATATTAATAGGTTTATCTCTCTCCCTCGTGAAAAAAAATAAGAACCTTGGTTATAGAAAGGCCACTGGTAAATGCACAAGTAATTTACATTCAAAAATGCAATACCAAACACATTTGTTTAGATCAAAAGACACATTTATATCAGATTCTGTCATATATGTCTAAAGTAAGACTTTTTATGATGATAGATGTACCACAAGGAAGGGCCAAACCTGAGATGCATAGATGTAATCATTTCTAAAAAGTGAATTTGTTTCTGTAAATAATTTCTGTAAATACATACATACACATTTTTCAATTACATTGCTTATTGGAAAATAAAAATAAAGCAAGGGTCTGGGGAAACTATTTTCTGTAATAATTCTGAAAATAGGAGCTAGAACATCAGATCTCTCAGCTGCAAAATAACTCCAGAGTACTTTTGGTGACACAGAACTTTTTTTTTTCCTGCTATACAAAACCAGAACTTATGTTAAACCTACAATGCCAAGAAACATTTGCAGCACACATCTGATTTTCAAAGATGAATTTAAAAAATCTATATGGGAGTTAATGTATTTTTATTATGTCTGTGCTTGAGTATTTATATCTTGGGGTCAGACATGATAGAAAAGTAATGAGACCATGTTGAGAAAAATGAGGTGGTCAACAAGAAAATCAACCTCATTTATAATAATATTCCTGTGATCAGCAGGTGCATAACTCTTCCAGCTATGGTCATTAACTGCATTCATTTCACACTTAACATCTACATTTGCAAGCCATTTGAAAGTAAAATTACCTTCCAATTCAATTTTCAATTTTATTTTACATCTTCAAATTTGATTGACTATTTTCCTCACAATGGTAACTATAGTGAGATTACAAGTGAATGGGAGCAACTACCCAAGAGCACAGATAGACTCATCTGCTCAGATTGCCTATTCACTTTGCTTCTGTATAGATAATAATTTATAACCATTTGTTAATGTTCAATTCAAGGCCAAAAATGAACTTAGGAAAAAACAATACTGAACTGTTGAAGGGATGCTTCATTTGTCAGGATCACATGGTCTTCAAATGAAAGTGTTTTTCTCTTTATAAATGATGTAACCTGGAAGTTTACCAAACATGAAAGAAGGCATTTCTTCGATGTTGCTAAGCTAAGAGCAACTCCCATGCAATCTAATGCCAACAGAAATCTCTTTGTATCCTGGTCAAAATCCAGAGAGAATTCTCTGCTAATGCTTCACTATTGGTACATTAGTATATTAGTACTTAACAATTGCAGAGTCATTTTCTCCATAAAAGGCATGTGCTTCCTAAACATTTGACAATAGCATCATTATAATCATCACCTCCATTTTAAAGGCAGAAGAAAAAGGAATGCCAATTGCCAGCTGATTTGGCATGCTTTCAGATTCTCAAATTTCCTTATTCTGGAGCACTCTGTACTTCACATACATTTTATTTTATATGCTACTTGCAACTTACTATATGTAAATTGGTCTTGTAGGAGACAGTACATTACAGAAGTGGCTGTCTGATGATCTGCAATCCAGAGCGATGTATCCTGCCCTCATAAAAACAGATGTAGTTACACTGAAAATAAATCAAATCTCTACAAAAGAACAGATCTGGAAGACTGATATGTCACCCAGACCTAGAGAAGAAGTTGTATGGTGTACTGGAATTTCCTGTTGATAGTGTTTGTTTGGAGAACATTAAGGAAAAAACCTACAAAGTGCCCTTAACCAGTATCCATAAAGAGGGAGCAACACAAGTGGCAGGCACAAAACAAGAATCATCAAATCTGACTGTTAGAATGAAAATCTTTCAAAATATGAGCAGTTATGAAGAAATGGTGAATCCTGACCTCTCCCTACAAGATGCTGACATATTTGCCATCAATTCTCCAAATAAAAAAAATGACCTGGTATTTTTCCTGACCAAGCATAACTTCATGGGAAATGTTACAACTCCACATGTTTCACAAATCATTCTGGAAGTGCTCACTAATATTCATAACATATATTTAAAAATTTCCATCAATATTTTAATATCCTTGGTTTTGAAATAGGCTCATCTTTCTCTTCTTTTCAAGTATTTAGTAAATTCCATTTTACACACAATGCTATGTTCCTCTGAAGGATGGCTAACTTTGCCAAATAATTTAGAAAACCGTAATTCTAGAAAATAGTTTTTAATTTTTCAGCACAAAGTACTCTAATGAGTATTAATATGTAGAAAGTTTAGTGCTAACTTCTTTTCCAGAATCTAAACAAAGTCCCTCTATAATGCAGTTATTTATACCTGCAGCAAGTTATGTTGGCTTTTTAAGTTCTATGGCTGTTATTTTTTCCACTTTGTTATTTTCTATGAATTTTCTGTTCTAAAGAGACAATCCATCCTTTCAGCCATCCTTTTGAGACAAAGGAAAGGATGCAGGATGCTTGCCCTTGCTAATATAATAGTTCTCTAAAATACAGCCATATTTCTCATATTCAAACCATTTATTCTAATTACTAAGAATTCTAATTACTATGAAGTCTTCCCTGTAAAAAGACAAAATTAACTTTCTAACAGAATTTAATTTATTTGGCATACAAAAATCCTGACTAACAAAACCTACCGACCAAATATAAACAGTATTCCGTTTACCTCATGTTACTTACATTGATCAACTAATCAAAATATAAAAAATTAGTACTTTAGTACTTATACTTATTAGTGCTTCCATCTAAAGTTCTAGAAGATGAGTTATTAAAAATGTTTCACTTTCAAATATATGAGTTAAAATCTCCTTTGTAAATTATGAAATTGAATGTACCCTAATACTTCCAAGAATACTTCTGTATTTCACTCATGCTTCACAAAAAATCAATGAACGTGTCTCAGGCTACTAAATACCAGAATTTAAAATAATCTCTTAGCTAAATCTATTCAATAAAGTTTACCTTAATTCTCTATCTAAAATATTCCAATAATTTTAGATATACATGATAGAATTAGCATCTATATCCTGCTCTGAATTTTAAGATGTTGGTCTAAGTTTTGCAAAACTAACCAAGGTTCATATTGTTCTGTATCTGAAAACATGCTGGGTGTTTAGGTTAACATGAATAATTTATGATATGTCTGTCAGCAAAGCTAAAATGATGACTGATTATGATAGCATCTAATTCACATAAATTCAAACTGTTACGGTATCTATGAATAAATTAGCTATGCCTGTAAAACCTATTATGTTGTAGTTATTAAAAATCTCAAAGTAATAAGCTTATATTTATAGAAACAACTGTTTGAAAACAGGAAATATGGTACCAAAATATATATTCCACTGTACTGTTCACAGGCCTTGCAATAAGATATTTTATCAGCAAGCACAACTACTTCAGGAATAGAGAGATGTTGACCCCTTTTTCCCTACAGATTCCTTCACACATAACTAGCTTCAACAGAAAACTTATCAGGTATGTTCCAGAGTTTGAAACTCTCAGAGTTTGCATTAATTCAGAATATAACAAGAGCTGATGCCTTCTGGAGCTGGCTAAGGCTAGTGGCAAGCAAAGCTAATATGACTATGAAGAGTGGGATAGCAACTGAGCAAACCTGTTGATAAGCACTTCGCCAGCTGAGCAAAGGTTTAAAGGCTGAGGCTGGAACATCAGGAGGAATTCAGAAATTAAGAGACATAGGTACCATTAGAGTGAATGAGCAATCGTGAATCCTCAGCACATTCTGGCTGGAAAGATGGTCCATATGGTACTGAGTGGTTCTAGGAAGTGGCAGCACAGCAGAGCCCCTCGGCACATTAATACCAAGTACCAAACCTGGGCTGGGGGGCAGCAGTTTTCAGTGACAATGGGCATGCTTGCTCTGCAGGTTTTCATGTCAGAGGTGAGGGATCTCATAAGAGAATTCAGATCTTCCCAGCTACAAGCTGTGCCACATGTGATTTACAGCTCTTTACCATGCTAAGATTTGAACAAGTTTGAAGCAGCATGAATTTGCCATCACTGAGAGAGGCAGCAATAGATGACTAAGTACCATGCCTGAACTGGGAAAAAAAGGTTGAGCAATACAAAGGAACTCATACAAGACCACAAAATGTTTCAGTACATAATCAGGAATTGAGCATCTCATTCTTGTTTGTACACCAGACCAGTCTACTCTTTTTTTTCTTTTGATGCTATGGTACAATTTCAAGGTCTGTTTTCTTACATCAACTGCTCTACTCATTTGCTGTAAAACTTTCCATTACAAGAAGTGCTAATTTCATGTGATACCCAGCACTAGAAGAACTGTATCAGAAACAAAGTATGACCATGACTGGTATTACAGTTCTTTAAGAATAAATGTTTGAGTGCTTGTCAAAATGTCAAGTAGAAGTACTAACACCCACAGGTCCATGTTTTGAGAATTAAAGCAAAAATGACAAAACAAGCCAGATGCTGTTTTCTTTTACATCCAAATATTTTTTCAAACATTGAGTTACCTTTGCTTTTTCAGAAAAGTAGCAAAATCCATAGCACTGAAGATTTAACAACTGGCTACTGCATTTGCTATAGACAGTTATATTCAGCATTACTAATAGCTTTGCTATTATTTGCTCCAAAGAAGCTGTATAAATTACATGCTCTCTACCTTAGTTGTGATTTTATTATGCTTCATCAAATTTTTCATCCACAATCTATTTTACACATTTTTACAGAGATCAATACATTGATTGTTAATGTGGTGGTATTCATCTAATCATGCCACATAAAAAAGTATCTAAAATTCTATTTAGATTTCTTCTGAAGAAAAGATAAACCAGCTAATATATGGTTTGCACATTTCAGTGTTTATGGCAGGAATCTTGAATGACTGGCTGACAGCAGCAAGTTAGAAAGTTTAGCTCCACTGATGCCAGCAGTGATGGATGGTCTTAAAGAAATTCTTGTTTGCTGACCAAATCAATCACTGAACAGAATGCAAAAGAAGATGAGGCTCAAACTAAATTCCTATTTCCATCTCTCTGCAGAATGGGACAGCAAGAAATGTAACGTAAAGCTTCATGCCCAGCTATTACGAAACTTGTCAGTGATTTTACATAAACTAAATTTTGTAGCTTGGCATGCAATCAATTTTCCCTTAAGACTGCTCAAAGATTCAGCACTAAGTAGTCAGGTTGTGTAAGAAACCATCTTTGAACATTATACTTCAGGAAGGAACAGCACCATCAACACTTTGTCTGCAAACAAGCAAGAGATTTCTTTCAAAATATCTGAAAAGAAGGGAACTGAACAGCAGTCACATGTCAAGAAGGACTTGCCTTTATTATTTATTGGATTATCTTAAGTCTGCTAGGATAAAATAATGCATTGTCTATTCTGCAAGTCTTGAAGGACTTTATAGGCACAAGTAAGTTATTGTTGATTTCAAATACAAAACTCAGTATTAAAACTATTTTTAAAGAGTTTTTATTAACTTTTTCATACAGTTGCACTAAGTGGAGAACAAGTGATATTGTACTTTTAAGACATAAACACCTTCATTCAAAGTAACTGGATCTACAGAGAAAATACAGTTAATATAGTTTATATTATATGCATTAAACAGCAATATAATATATGTTACATAAAATATATATATAGCAAATACAAAATACATGTATTTAAATCTATACCAGTACCTAAGAATATAGTAAGAACATATATTTGCTGTTGTAAGAGGGACATAGTAAAGATGGGAACAGGAAGTAGAAAGAAAATATGAAGAAAATGTAAAGTCTAAGCGTCAGCTGGAAGAGAAAAGGCAAATAAGGGTGGGACAGGTGATAGAAAGTTTTTATGAGAAAAACATGAGAAAAATAAAATTAGTAGAAGTATAAAAGAGGTTCTTGTTAAGAAGGTGGAAAATACCCAAAAGAATCAAACTGAAGATGACACTACAAAAAAAGTCTGAATTCCTGCACCTATCATTAAATCTCTGTGCCTGCCTAAAGAATATCCATGAGAAGCAAATCTTGGTTTTGAGTTGGTAGTTGGTGTTTGTTCTCTGTGTGCTGCATCACATATCCTGTTTATTTTGTCCCTTTGTCCCTTTAAATGCAAATTTACAGAAAGTCAAACAAAAATAAAATTCTTCTTTCATTTTACAATTTAATTGCTAATTCAATTGATATCATTCAACCCATCTTTTCTTGCAGGGATTCTAATGGCATAATATTTATTTTGTTAATCCAATCTCAGATATTCTATGGATTACAAAGCTGAGTTGTGCTGTTTATATATAATATAAACAGATGGTGTCACTAGTGGAGAAATGGTGTCCAAAGTCTGACAACTACCAAAGTTTAAAACTCTATTAAATCATTTCACACCTAACTAATAAAATGTCTGTTTCTGCTGTATCTCTCTTTCTTCACGGTGTGGAAATAATTATACTAATCGAGCACTCAAATTTTTTTTCTAGCTTTTTAGCATTTGTTTGGTTGTGTTTTTCTCCTCCAGTTATTAGAATATGTATTTCTTTTTGCCCTGGACCAAAGAGCCCTCTCTTATGACTTATGAATAATTCTCTTATGAATTTTCAGGCAGTCCTCATGCATCAGTATTTTCATATGTTTGACAAATTTGTGCTCCATTTCTTCAGATTTTTCATCATCTTCATTCAGGATTTTGGAGTTTGTTATGTCTTCAAAGGAATGTCAGTATTTAAAACATCTAAGAAATAATGATCTCATTAGCTTAATTACTTTTTATTGACTTGACAAGTCACCATGCTTTAATGCAAAATATGCCACCACAATTAATGACCATAATCAAGAATTCACTTTAAGTATTCAAAGAAATTTTATGCATCTTACAGTAACTCAGTGGAGAAGTCTTTTCCCAATGGCACAAAAATCTGAAGTGTCAGAAATTGCTGCACCAGTCCCACTAGAAACAGGAAAAAAGAAAAAAAGTGCTGTGTGCATGCAGATACACATTTCACTATCCAGCATTTCAATTTTGTACCATACGCTGTGCTCCTACAACACTATTTCCCAAGGTTCACACAACATATGAACATGAGAAAAACCTGAAGAAATCCAATTCAAACTGCAATAAAAGTATTGTTTTAAAAGTCCCATCTGTGGCTTTGGTGGAATTCTCATGAAAGCAAAAGGAACCTTTTTTTAAGCTTACAATTTTTGTGCTCCAAGAGCATGAAGACAATAAATATCCCATAAGAATTATAAAATGAAGTAATACTGTCCTATCAAGATTATCTTATAGTCATGTTACATTTGCACTCATGTTGGTGACAATGTACACATTGCTAAGCAAATTCAATAAAACTCTTGGGTAAGAATGCAATTCAGATCATGACAATGACGTTCAATGGAGGCTTCTGATTTTTAGAATAATAGCAAAGGAGTTGGACTGAGGGAGAAAACAAAGAAAAATTCAGGTAGCTTCCTATCAAGGGAAAATAGTACAAAGTTGTCTGAATTGAACCATATGTTGTTTTCTCAGATATTCCATCAGGGACAATATAGGCTGCTTTTCATTGACTTCACAAGCCTGAACAGCAACATTGGCTTCTACTTTAAAGACTGACAAATCAGAACTTTCTCCTTTTGAGGGCCAAATGACACCTTAAAACTCCAAATTAGATTTGCATATATAGTATCTTTTATTTTGCAAGAGTATACAAAGTTCCAGTGCAACCGGGAGATGATATACTTGATTAATTAAATATTTGAGGTACACACACCTCAAGAGAAGAGACCAAGACAGAAGGAAACAGAATGGTAACAGATGGAAACTTGACTGCAGTATTGCTGCACTAGGTAAAGTAAATTTAAAACCAAACTATTTTTAGCAGTGATTACCAACACGATAAATTCTTAATCCTCATTTTAATATTTAGCAACAGTTAACAACTGTTTTTCTTTTAATTGTTTACTGTTTGCTATATTAGTTTATTATACAATTGAAAATAAATTTGTTTGATTTCTCAAAAAAATACATTGCATTAATTTTTAGTGAAGATAACAGCCAATTTATTTTATGAAAATCAGACTAAACTTCAAGGCCTTACAGAGTCACCAGCCCTAAGAATTATTATTTTTTTTGTGTTTATTGGAAAAAACTTATGCCTTACTATATACCCTGCATTGGAAGTACACTAGAAGATTCCCATTCCATTTGTTTAAAATCACTATCTCAATTTTTCTTCAAAAGCAATGCTTATTTGATACAAAATTAAAAATTATTTAAAAACCCTAAGAAAGGGGACAGGAACCAAGTTCACATTCATTAATGCCAGTAGAATTACTGACTTCAGAAAGTGCTCAATGGAGTCAGAAGTTATTTATCAGACACTGGTCTGTAGCAGGATGAGGTACAGAAGTGAACTTGGCAGCAATAGGACATATTAGATCTTCCCTACAGCACTTATTCTAATATGGCATTTCTGTAAGTCTTACTTATTTGTAACAGACCTGCTAAAAAGTTAATTCCAAAACTTTTCCTATGCTGAATTATGCCTGAACTAAGGGAGAATAATGTTTAGCATTCCAATATAACATTGATGCAATAATCAAAACAGCATCACAGACATTTAATTCTTTGATACTCACAAGTTTGTTTGGTTTCCCTTGGTAGCTTCATTTTGTTGGTTAGACTGTTTCCTTCAAGTACAAAAACAAAGCCTTTTAGTTCTTTGTCATATTCCTACAGAAAGGAACAACAAACATAAGCATCTGGATACAATTCTCCTCCTGAAAACCAACTATGCTCCTAACATATCAGAAATGCAGATGGCACTGCAAGTATGACTGGTTCACATTTGATGGCAAAAATATAATCGACACAAATATGTCCTTTACTTGTATGTTTTATGAACAAATATTGCTGACAAACAGGATTCATGATTCAGTGAGCAAAGCTCAATTCATTGGTTACCAGAGTACCAAAATTACTTTCTAAATATTTAAACTGCAAAATTACACTGTGACCAACTCAGTCTGCAAGCAGGCATATAGAAGTAATTTAAGTAGTCATTTAGTCTGCCATAATGACAGAACTGCAAGTGACAACTCTACTGTCAGGTCAAAGCCCTCATTACTTTCTAATTTTAAGCTTCATTCACATTTTTCTGGTTTATAATGTAGGTTTTATAGATTTCTTTAAAAACTTACTTTTGATATAGCTGATGGGTTGCCAAAAATCTTCCATTTTGCTCCTGGGTTCTTGCCTTGAGCACTGAATATTTCAACAAACCGGCCCCCCTATGATAACATGGTTTAAGAATGCATCATCCAGTCAAACGCTCAGCACTAAATTATCAAGGATCAAGATGAGAACCTAAGAATATCCCTCTGTATCACACTGTTACCACAGTCAGTATTACTGATCAGTCAGACAGCAGAATATCAATAACAGCTTCTAGACTACTACAACATATCAATTCGTGTAGTCAATATTTGGCTTTACTAGAGGATCAGAATTGAAGGAATGCCATGGAGTATTTTAAATTATTTTATCTATTATGTCATTCTCTAAAAAGCAAAATTGTTGTAGATATTCAAAAACCATGCAAGACATGACTAATTTATATCTGGATAAGATTTATTTCTACAATTTGCTGAATGAAGTGAGTTTTAAAATATGCTGCTAAAAAATAAAAGGTGTTGCAGATCGGATGTTTTGTCTGATTTCCAAAGGAAATGGAATTTACACCATTTGTCTATATATGTGAATGGTTCTGCCTAAATATTTTTTAGTAACTTTTCTACTAGTTACCGAATTTCAACCTGATTTGACCAAACAAAAATTTACTAACTTTTCTGGGCCAACTTCAGCAGCCTGGGAGTAGATCTGTTTCAGTAAGTATCACCACGAAAAGGGTAATGGCTACAGCCTCCACGAGGGAACAGAGAATTACTACTGGAAAAAGATTATTATGGATGTCCCTATGTCAGGTGAAAACTCCTGACACAAGAGTATGTGCCCTGCTGGACATCAAGGAATCCAAACACAGGCTCTCGGGGAGGTTGGCTTCATCACCTCTGCTTAGGGAATTAGTTGCTTCTAGATTTTTGCCATTTGATGCTGCATTTTTTGTGACATTTGATGCACTCAGCCTACAGTTTGCTAAGCATTTTTCAGCAGCATGGTTGACCTAATCAATCATTACAACTCTGCCATTCCCTTCTCATTTCTAGTTGCCTGCACTCTCCAATTCTCTTTATGCTCAGCTGCCCAAGCAATTGCCTGCAAGTCAGAATGAGCAAGAGAGGCAAGCAAAAGAAATGCTCCTCATATTAGTTTTTCAGAGAACATCAACTCTGCACTGTTTATGAATTAGGTATTTTCCTCTGCCCACACACACCTGGCAGCTCCAGCCATATGGCTGATCCAGTGACTGGACTTAGTGAGTTCTAAGGAAATTCAAAATGGCATTCCATAAACTGCACTCAAAATATTTTTTAAACTTACAGTGGATTAATTTTTTAATATGGTATACAATCAATTTCCAAGTTACCTGATTTATTTAAGGATTACAGGATCAAGCTCTCAAAAAGTTAAAAAATATTTTTAACTGTCAAGCTGTATGTGCTTGCAGCAAATCTTGAACAAGTGGCTTTTTCTTCCATCTTCACAAATACATTTTGTTAATAGCCTAGCCCTTGAATCAGCCCTGATTTGAGGTTAAACTGAACAGGACATGGAAAAATACCAGACACGACATGAGAAAATGTCAAAAAAGCAGTGATGCAACTTTTGCTGACAAAAGTTACTTGGTGCTGTGGAGAATGGAGGGGCCCCAGTGAAGTTGGGCAAGGAACTGCCAAACTCCACAAGCAACTGGAGGGGAGTATGGGGCATCCCTGGGGAGCACAATCCTGCAAAGCCAGTGGCAGCTAGGCATCAGAAATTCCATGAAAAGCTGAGACAACCTAGGAACAGTATCAGAAATATCAATTTTGGGTACAGAAGCAGCACATCTGGGATCAGCAGGGAAAATGTAGTTGGGGTAGGCTGTTCCCTTGGGATGGGAGTGGTGCAGAGAAAGGGAGGGCAGAGTGTGGTGGGAAGAGAGGCCAGGAAAGAGTAAAAGGGATAGTGAAGCTCCAAATAATGTGACTGCTGTTGTCACAAGCTTGTGCTGGACCAATGAATAAACCAACTCCCTTTTCTGACTACGCCTTAGGAGCTGGGACTCCTTCCATGACTGTATGGAAGCAGATGTGCCTTCCCTGGCCCACAGGGGCAAAGAACAAATGCCATTGGCAAACTCATGATGTGCCCGTTCTAGACCTGACAGCATCAGCAGCTATTCACTAATTTATGACACTTCTATAAAAATACTGAATTATTAAACACTCCAAAACACTCCTGTAGCTGTACTTTTTGCATGTCAGAATATGTTATTTTAATTGAGCTTTCATAGAGATTAAATGAAAAATGGGTAAAAATTAGAATTATTTCTGTTTTACCTGATAGTGGTTTCTGAACATTTTCCCAGCTTTCATAAGCAGAAAATAATTTTAGCTTCCAATCAGTAGACACTTGCAAGCTGTACTGAAAAACAAACAAACAACTTTAAATAGGATTTGACATGAAAAAATCCTATAATGACGGTCCAGCCGTATTTTAAAATATGTGAATACTATTATAAAGTACTTTTCTGAGTAGGAATGTGTTATCAACTGCATCGGAGTGCTACTGCAAAAGAATTAACACCAAAATAATATTAATATTGACATTGTATTGGAAAAAATTCTAATTTTGCATCAAGTACCCAGGGCTGCCTTTTCTTATACTCCAAGCAGAACTAGTAATTTTATGTCAGTCCTTATTTTTAACCAACAAAGACTTTCTCATTCTTTAAAAACACTTAAAAATAATCTTGAACACATACTTTTTATTGTTCTTTTTTCTCAAGTGCCCACTGGAAAACATTAGAATCCATTAAAGAGGAGCTTAACATTCAATATAGAAAAATAGAAACATGGAACAGCTGCCACAGAAATCTCTCCATCTAGAGGAATTTGGCAGAGACTTCTGAGACAAGTTATCTTCTTTCACATTCAGCACTCTTCTTTGAGGATGATTACTCTAATACTCAAACCAAGCACTTCAGTTATCTGAGTGCTGCTCGAGTCACTGTGAATTAAGAGATTTCTGCAGTTACAGAATTGGAACAGTGGAAGGGGAAGGGACTGGCACTGGAAGCTCCTCTTTGATCACACTGAGTGTCTGGGGGCTCACCTGGCATCCACAGAAAGTGAAGAGACCCTGAACATAAAAGGGATTTGTCACTCCAAAGACAGGGAGAAATCAGCCACAAGAGACAACAAGCACCTTCACTGAGAACTGAAAGTGCTCCTCAGCTCACAGAAGAATCCTTTCACAAGACTCTGCCTCACTTTTATTAACTGAACTTTGTTTTCATGTTCAGTTTGGCTACAAACAAGTTAAGAATGAAATTGTTTTTAAGTAGTGGGTATTTTTCAGACTGCAACCAGTTTTTTAACAAATAGAAACAATATGCTGACCAGGTGATTATAAATACAGCTTCTCATAATGAACAGTTCAGCTCTCACAACTAAAAAATAACAAAGTTAAAAAAATTATGAAAACATATATGACTACAAATGAACTAGAAATTCAGTGGCAATATGCATGAGTTCATGAAGAATGAATCCATCTAAAGGATTAGGGCAGCATTCTATTTGAAAAAGTAAATAATAATTCATTTATGAAAACACGATGAAATTTATTGATATTTATCCACACTTATTTAAGTAAATAATAATTCATTTATGAAAACACGATGAAATTCATTGATATTTATCCACACTTATTTTAATCAGCAACAATTAAATCTTAAAGTTGTCTGTAAATAAAATAAAAATGGAAAAACAATGAGATATTGTAAATTTATCCCATGCTGTTGCCAGAAATATTAGTTCATTTAAATTTTTTTTATTATAAGGAAAATAAAACTTAAAAATAATGGCATTTGTAGCAGGCCTATCAAAACTTGTAATTAGTATTTTGATCAAATTTAACTAATATAGTCACTGCACTTCCAAAACACCAGTTGCATTATCCTATGTTTTAGACCATTTTCTATACAGATTTTCCACTTGCTGACATTTTTTAAAATTACTACATTAATAGTTACATTGAGCTACTTAATTATGAATGAGATGTTTTAGAAATACCTTTTGAAGAATGCACTTCTAAAGCAAGTGCATTAGACTTTTTCTTCTCTCTAAATATTCACTTAATATAAAGATCACTTATTTCTGAAATCACTGTTCATATTTCTGTCTGCAGCCCTATTTTTGTTATTATACAGCCTTTAAACAAGCCAGAACTACTCAAAATTGTATGATTCATGTCTTAGTGAGAAGTAGTGGCACCATGAAACTCATTTCAGTGACCTACTGTTTTAATTCCCTTTGCCAAAGCAGAATGTGAAGGACCTGTAGTGAATGAGAGACAGGAGCCAAGCCCTCCTGATGAGTGCATCCCTGTAACTCACACTCTGAGGCTCTTGTCATTCTAGGACTGAGGATTTTACCATCACCCAGTTTTTATTTATTATTGATTTTAAGTGAAGATATAAAAGAATACACTGGTTTTTCCTTGGGTCAAAGCACTTTCACTAACTTTTGCTTTAAAGATCAATTTCAGACTTGCCAAGCATCATGCACCTAGCACAGCCCTCACATATTCTGCAGTTCTGTTACACTTTATTACGTCTCAGGAAAAATACTATAACTAAATAAATGCGAGGAATTCTGATCTAAATAAATGTCAGAGTTCTGATGTCACTGTATAGAAAGTTTTAAGTTCTGAGACTGAAGAAAATAACTCATCTCTTTCAGGGACTACTACCAGTATTCTGGCTTAAAATCTGTCACCAGTGCAGTTGTGTTTCAAACTGATGCTTATATGGACAAGGTAGCTTATCTCCTAATCTGCAGAACATATCCTGTGCAGACTCAGAAAACTGATGACTCTTGTAGGTACCAAATTCAAAACCAGGTGACTCTTCCTAACTTCAGTGGAAGGCATACTCACCCAAAGTTTATAGGCATTTGTGTTTGGACAAGTCATTCAACTAGAAAGCTGATCACTGTAAATATCTCTGTGAAATCATCAAAATGTCAGTTTGTTTTGCATTAAGGCAGGAAAAATACTGCAAGTGGCATTGCAATATGTCTTTGCTCTTATATTGCTTAATTATAACTTACAAAATTTCATTACTGCAAATGAACACTAGAAATTACCTTTCCTATTAAGATTGGTAGCCACTAAAACCATTAAGTGAATGACATATTTGTCACGTAATTACTGAGGTAGTGTTAAAAAGTGCTTCCATTATGCATCAAGTACTATTGTCTTTAATTATAGTAAGCTATTTTTAAAGGAGAAAGCAGTCTGGAAAATTGATACTTGTGGTATTTATCCTCTTTTCACCTTTCCTCTTCCCAGTCCCTCCAAAAAGTTTAAAATCCAAGAGTACTTAAAATCCAGAGAGACTATTTTAAAAAATCAACAGCCATTTGAAATGCAATTCCTCAATTTTTTGTATAGTTATCAAATAAATAGGACTTTTATGACATCTTCATATAATGCCATAAATTAGTAACTTTCTCATTTTTCAGTCACAGATCAAAATTATTTTTTTATTGCCCTGAACCATGTACCATGAACTATGTATGTCTGTCCAACTGGAAACACAGGCCTAACATATCAGTCAATGACAAATAATCAAGAATGTAATTTATAAGGGTAAGCAACAATGAAAGACATTTATCTTTTAATAGATTCCTATCCAAGTTTACCTTGTGATGTCTTGGTTTGTGCAGTGACTTTCAGCACTAGTTTCACCACGCTTCTTACATCAACAATAGCAGTATCCAAAGGGCCCCTTATTCCTTCCATTCACCCAAACCACTCAGGACTCTGCAAAAATATCTCCATTCTATGACAGCTTCTTATGTCTATTTCAATAATATTTGGTGTTTATGTAGCCCTAGATTCCAACAATTGGGCCTTTGAAAGTGACAAGCAAAACGAGTATTTCGCAAACAGCCAATGCAAACAGACATTCATGCTTTCTTAATCTAATTAGTGCTAAACACTGTTCTAAATCCAGGAGAGACAGGGATGGATAGACTCACACACCTCTAAACCTCTTCACAGTCATGGTTAGTCCCTTATCTTAAAAGACACTATTTACATAAGTATAAGAATATACAAGCTTCTGATCAATATCCCAGTGTTGGAAAAGCTATGTTTAGTTAAGATATTTTTATTCCAAAGTCATATCTGTGAAGAAAAATAAAGTGAATTTGCACATACTACTAATTTGCATTGAAAAATGACAGGAATACACTATTTCTGGCAGGGCACACAGGCTTAGCCCCAAGACTGTTCATACATATAACTCACCATCATGGGCCCAAAGCCAGAGCTGATTTATGGTGGCTGGGACATGCCAGGGAACGCAGTTCATCATCAGTGAAGGGTTTTAGTATCTCCCAGACAAATGAATTCCACATATTAAATATTTAAAGCTGAGTTTGTAACACCACTATATATTTTCTCAAAATACAAGTTACCATAATAAATGAGCAGAAAGACCATTAATAAGCTATTGCAAGACTACCGCTGCTCCAACGGGTGATGCTTTTACGTGCAAAGTACAGAATTAAGGGGGGGGAAATAACTTAAAACCGAGGCTTTCGCTTTATAAAAATTGGACGGCGAAACGCTTTGACACAAGACCCGCGACCACCTGCGGCTCCCCCTCCCCTGCGCAGCTACAGCGGCACGGCCGCGGCCCCGCGGGAGCCGGGCTGGGGTCAGCATGGGGATGGAGGACGGGGATGGAGGTCGGGGATCGGGGCTGGGGATGGAGGTCGGGGATCGGGGCTGGGGTCAGGAGAGGGGCCGGGGCCGCCGAGCCCGGGGCTGTCCGTCCCCGCCGGGTCTCACCTGTGTGAGGGCGGCGGGGCCGTTGAAGATGGCGGCGCGGGCCCCTGAGGGTCGGTACCAGCCCGGGGCAGCGGCGGCGGCGGCCGCGGCTCCTCGGGGCGGCGGGGCGCTGGTGGCCCGTGGGGGCTGCGCTGCCCGCGGTCCCCGGCCCCGCACCAAGCCACTCACAAATGGCCGAAGCTGTGGCCGAGCCTGTGCTGGTCCCTCACAGCTGCCCCCAAGCGTGTGGGAAGCGACGCCGTGTCACCCGGGGCCCCTGCAGGTGACTCCAGTGCAAATGTCGTTGACATGTCAACTCATGAAACATATTTGCCCTTTCCCCTTTAAGGCTGAATTTCCAAAAATGCGAGGGTTTTTTTCGTTTGTTTGTTTGAATTTTTTTTTGTTTTGTTTTGAGAGGGATGAAGGGTGAGCTACAGCAGCCACATCACAGTCCTTGGTTTTTAAATAATTAATGGCCTCGGAGGTCTGGCATTTTTCCCTACAAGAGGGAAGCAAGGACAGCCCCATTAGTTTAACATCACTCGCAAGTACAAGCAAACACCTCCCGATGGCTTCAAAAACCTCTGGGAACAAGGTTAAGGGGAAGCAGTTTGATCTGTGGTTTTATAATGAGATACTAGTCAAAGAAGATTGTCCCTTGAAGTGACTGCTTTTTTGATCACAGCATTTCTTCGTGAAACTTTGTAGCCCTTTCACAGAAAAGTACTGGGATACCGTTTTCTTCATCAAAGTGTGTCTTAATGTTTCTTTGAAGAGCAATTATTAAGAACCTTGTAACCCATCACAGCATAATGAAATACATGAACTGGAAGGGCTGAGCCACGGATGGGACCTTCGGTACTCAGCTCACCATTGCTCTGTTCACCTCCCTCGCTTTTCGTCCTGCAGGTACCAACCTTATTTTGCCAATGAAGGCGATGACTTAAGTCAGTTTTAGGATGTATTTAGCTTTCTCATTTTACCTTAGGATTTTCAAAGAAATCCAATGTTTTTTTACCATACACTGGATTACACTGATTAGAGTTCTTAGGTATTGGAGATAAGGAAAACAATAATACTAAAGCAGAGCTACAGGTTATTAAATAAAACCAGTTAATACAACAAGGACAGAAGAGAGGTGATGATAGGAAAACAAAGGTTAAAAAAACATTGTGGAGTTCTGTAGCCAATGGAAACTACATAGTTCATTACATACAGTTTAACCTGAAGTAGTTCTGAAATTAATTACGCATAGTACTGGTCTAAAAATCATGCACCCTTTCTGACAGGAGTTATGCTAAGACCTAAGTAGTTTAGAAATTCCAGTTAAAACCTGAAATTTGAGCTGAAGAACCTAAAGTCGAAACGGTGTATGAAGCAGCCATCTGTGAATGTAAGGTGTAAAGAGCTACCTGCCTGCTCCGGGCAAAACTGGGCTGCTCAAGTCCCCTTTGCCATCTGCCACTGGAAACTGGTTTTAGGCATACTGTGAGGGGAATTTGTTTTCCCTGTCTTCTTCCAGTTTTACAGAAAAAACCTCATATCTTGTGACCCAAAAATTGCAGGTAATGTAAGACTGGCTAGAAACCTTGTGTCATTAAATTTAGTCCATCCATAGCCTGAGCACATCATACTTCCGTAGTCTGTTTTGGAATTATGGTATTGTGGGAAAAACTGTTGAATTCTTTGAGATTGCACCTGTGGGCTGGCTGCAGTTGATACCTGAGTTGCTGGGTTATGCACTTTTCTTTGGTTAAATATTTGAAGCCTCTGTGCAGTGTACATCTACTAAAGCCCCGGAAAGACAGAGTTCTCAGCAAGTGCTTGGGTAATAATTTGGGAAAAACTGAGAACTCATATACATTTATCTTCAGCCCTTACATGTTAGAACATATTTCAGTGAAGAGATTTCTATGGTGTCTTGGACTAGGAAAATTGAACACAGGAACATCCATTTTTCTCATAAATAACCCAAGCATAAGGTGTGGTTAGGTCTCCTGTCTTAAATTAAAATACTGAGAAGTTAGGAGCATCATGCTGGGAAATGAAATGATTTAATTTAGGAGAGTATTCAATGTGCATTAGATATCTGATGTGTGATATTAAACCCAGCCATTTTTAAAGGACCCCCACTGACATAGCTTGGGTTTATATTCACAGGAATAGTTCTGTATCTTCCTTCATCCTTTTCTGACTCAGCCTTATTACATGGCATTGCTCCCACGTGGAGCAGTCTCCCTTCCCTCTGTGTAAAGCTTGATTTCAGCTCTTATGATCATTTGCCAGTTTGTTCAGTACAGTATTCTTCTGAATTGGTTTGGTTTGTGCTTTTTAAGACTGTCAGTTCATGTAGTTTGGAGATCTCTTCTCTTTCTAGTTCATCCTGTATTTTGTAAAATGTTATGTTTTGTCTTGAGATCTATATATATTATAAATGCTATTTTCTGTAGTTCCATCTTACCATTCTTGATGTGCAGGAAGGGAGCCATGATGTGAGCTGCTGCTTGCTCTGCCTTCACTTGGTAACAGCTACCATGGAGCCAAGGCGTGCTTGCCCCAGTGCCAGGCCACTCTGCCTTTCCTCTGAACATTCCTGCTCAGCCAGTCACCTTCCTAGGAGCATGTTTGCCAAGATTACATCATGCAGGGTAATTTAACTGCCTAGTCTCCATTGTATCCACTACTATTTGTGGCTAACTAGTTAGCCAGCATTCATCGTTGTAGAAAGACAATTAGCACAGGATTAAAAAGATTATTAAATTATTCCTCTTTTATGTTTTGTTTGGTTTATTTTGAGGCAACTGATATCTGTTTACAGATTAAAAAAATGTGGTATCATCTGAAGAAAGGCAGTGAATTTCTGTAACTGAAAGACACATCAGCTTTATGCAATGCGTGTGCTAATTACCTTCTTTCCTTCAGGATAGTTCATTAAAGCTATGTGATAACAAGGAAAGTGTATAGGAAAAGTGAAAACCTGCCATGATTTGCCTTAGTGTTGAATCAACCTGTGCTTAAGTTTGGCAAGTTAGAGTGGAAAACATATGCAGGTTCTCTTTGCACCTGCTACCGTGCTTTACAGGAGTTACAGTGTTCACACACCCCAAACTATAACAATCATTGGTTGTTTCATTTCAGCCTTGCAGTGCAGAAGGATATTTTGTGTAATGCCTTTTGTAGTTTGGTCATGCTTCTTTGATTCAGAGAATTTTTGAATAGGATTAAAGAAAAACAGCCTCTGGATGACTGCTGGAAACTTGAAATAGCATAGCCACTCTTCTCTGTCCAGTAAATCCATTAAACGATAAACTATTGATTTTTATAACACAATTAAGGTGCCAATGATTTCTTAAGAAATCATTGTACATTTTCTGTGTTATACACTCAGCACATTATCTATTGTAAATCAGAGGAGAGTGTTCTCAGTCTGGAATGAAATGATCTTCAAGCTGTTCTCAGAATGAAACCATCTCCACACCAGTCCAGTGCTGCACATAGTTCTGCTTCTGAAATGGACCAATGGTCTTTATCCCAATGATTGTAGTGTGCATATACAAAAAGATGTAACCACTGTAATTTGCTATCATTGAGACTTCTTGAAGCAGATAGTATACAGTACCTAAAAAGTTTTAGTAACTTGCCCAGACAAGAATAAAAATTGGAACTTCAGGAGCAATGTCATGATCCAGTGTTAAAATGGATGGTTGTCTGGACTCACAGAGGAATTTCTTCATCTCTCCATCACATAGTTTGTACAAAGAACGAGAATGCCATGGAGTATTTCCTTTGAAGCAGCATAAAATATTAGAAAAATATTGGTTGCAATGGGTCAAAATGGAATCTTCTATTCTGACATTTCCTGTGTTCTTTTGTGCTGAGATGGGATAAACACAGCCTTTATTTGTTCTGATAACTGTGGGGCTTATTTTCCTTTCTCTCCACCTTTGATTTTATTTTTACTGACAAGATAAAAAAAAGAAGTCAATATATAGTTTGATGTTGCTCATCCAACTTGTCAGATTTTTGTTTAGTGTTTTGATACTGTTTTTTCATTCAATTATTGTTCACATTGCTAGGGTTTAAGGTTTCTCATAGTAGGCACTTCATATAAATGCCTCTGTTGTGTTATCTTTTAAATTAATTTTTTAAATTAATTTTTTTTTCAGAAATACAAGTACTTTCAAATAAAATTCTTTGCACATTTGGAATATAAATAAACATACAAATACAAATTTTGAGAAAAAAAGTGCATCTGCATTTTTCAATTAATTCATTTGGACTGAATCACTGGATTCCATGCAGCATTCTTCATTTTGGCTCTTACAAAATTGTTCTCTGAAAAAAAGTCTTCACAGAGACATATCATGCAGATTTGTGCCCAAAGTTCCTCCTGTCTAACAACCTCAACTTCCTCTGTCTCTGGCAATTCCTTTAAGACAACAATCCCACTTAGTTTTCCTTTTTCTTCTATAATATTGTCACTTTTCAACATTCCTAGTAATTTATCTTGTATCTTGACTAGTTTCTGCTTTCCTAAAACACTTCCTGCAGTGCAGAGTTCCCAGATGTCCAAACTCCTTTCTGTGTGTTTTTTTTTTTTAATTCTGCTCAGCAGCCAGTAAAGAATGTCTGTGCTGTGGTGTGTCCAGCAGGAGCTGTGCTGAGTGGACAGCCAGGGAGTGCATGTCAGCCTGGCTGCTGCCAAAACAAATGAGTAGTGACTTCATTTCTTCCCACCTTGCACTAATGGCAGCATCAATTACATCTGTTCTGCATCCTTCTGTTGATTCTCATAAACCTTTCAGGAGCTTAATGTCTTAGGATATTCCATATGAAGTAAGACTAAAAAATGTCACTAATTTTGAGGGGAAGAATTGGAGTACTTGACCTAATGTCATACATTTC